GGTCAGAGTTTGATGGAAGTTCAAGTCCCGCTCAGACCAAGTTCTGTTGTTGTGTCCTTTGGCAAGACACTTTACCCACATTGACTAGTATGAAAGTAAGGTGTGTGAGCATTGGTGGTGGTTGGTGTGTTTATTACATACTGAAGTTATTGTACCTGAGTCAGAAACATGTTTTAGTTTATAGTCTCCTTATAACTTCCTGAAAGTTCTAAAATCTTAGCCTTTTGCTTTTTTTTTTTATCACTCTTGAAAACATATCATGACAGAGAATGATCCCATGATCCTTAGTAACAATGCACCTGATTGGACAAAAAAAGGTGGTCCTGCCAGTATCTTCTGCATTAGTTATTATCTTAGAAAATGCTGTAGAAAATTTATCACATTTCACAGTCTCTATTCATTTTACTATTTAGCAGCTTTTTACCAAACAGCATTTAAGTTGACAAGAATACATTTAAATCCCTTTAAATCCCATAACACCCTTTAAAGGTGCATTGTGTCACTTTTCTGGTAAAGGGTCTGTTAAATGCTTTTCTCCATGGAGATGTTACTATATTGCTTTGTCTGGAGTGTCTCAAGTATGATATTAAACCTTTCTATCATCATTAAAACCAAATCAGACTAAGTTACAGGTGTGATCTGTGTATTCCCAGTCAGAATACCTGTTTTTTCTATTTGTAACCTATAAAAACACTTGTAATTTAATAAATGTAAAGTATAGGGCTGTTTGATATCATACTATGGAACATTCCAGGCAGAGCAATGGCATATCAATCAAATAACGGGCCCTCATCCGAAAAGTTACATAGTGCAGCTTTAACTGCTAAATGAGTGCAAGTAAGTTAACACATACTTTTCTGGATGCGTTTAGGAAAGTCCAAACTGGTGACTTTATAGACCCTTGCAGTAATCTTGCAGTGTTTGCTTGTGGGTGTAGAGTCTTTATGGGACTGCCTTTCATTTGAGCACATAACTTTTAGCACATACTAAAATTGTTCAGAAGTATGAGTTTTACTGCAGAGAGTTGTGTCTGAACTGAGGATCATTGACCTGCAGTGTACTGCCACTTTCTCTTCAAATACAAGGCTACTGTTTACTCATGAGGAGGCCGGACCTTTGAGCAAGAGCCACTGTTTATTTATGAAAACAATTCGATCAATGGCGGGGAACAATTTGTATCCAATGATATTTTTACATTATTTCACTACTCTTGTAAATGCTAACATTTAAAGTGACAGGTTGGACTACTCCTTTCACTAAAACACAGTTAAGATGACTCTATTTAAGATTTCACAAAACAAAAAAACAAGAAACAAACAAACAAAAAAAACCTAAAAATGTAATCATTTTCCCAATGTGGCATTTGTTTAGGTTTCAAATTTTACTTCCTGTTTGTAAATTATGACACAATGATCATACTCGGGAATTCCATAACTGTTACCCATAGATCTATAATAAAAACTGGATAAGGTGTTCCCTCTCTGTATCGGTGCGAGATCGACTAGTGGCCGCTCCACTGGTACTGCAGTTCCCGGGAACTTGGGCCCAGAAAGAATTCTCCCATAGAAGCACAATGCATTTTCAGAGCACTAGCTGCTAGAGCAGAGCTAGCATGGGCTCAGAGCCAGGCTAGGCTAACTCTTACAACACTAACTTTTAGGTGCTTTGATGATTTAAAGTTTTAAAAGTTCATATTGTAAAAATACAAAAGAATCCCTACAAAATCCGACCTTTATGAAAGCTGTCAATGCCCTGTCAGCCAAACACGGGCAGTTTGATTTCACAAAAAATGCATTGTGCTCTATTCAGAATTCTGTCTGGACTGGAGGTCCCGGGAGCTGCAGTACTTTGGGGCTGATCTCGCTCATGGACAGTTTACAGTATATATATTTGCCTTTCTTTTTTCCTCATAAGCTGCTATATTTGTTTTGATAAGAACAGATCATGCGTGTCCCTGATTGGCTAATCCACCTGTCAATCACCCCCTGAATTATGGGAGATTCACCGGTGAACACACTCACATCTCTGTAAAGTATTGGAGAAGTGTGTAGTCTGGATCCCAGACAACTTTTAGATAGTTTGTTAACCTATAAAACAAATCTGATATGCTACTTAAACTTTATGGATATGGATTTTTTTTTACAGTGTTGGGAAGTTATTCATTAAAGTATATACAATATATTGTGTCCAATATAAGACACAATGATGTGTGTCTTATATTGGATGTCATTCCAGCACTTACTGATATGTGGAGAACAATTGTGTGGTGCAGTTTGTGTGTTTGCGCCTCTTGCCTCATCGTGAGAAATTTTATTTTAATTGGCCACACATCCTGACGAGCAACCTCATCAGATCTCAGAAGCTAAGCAAGGCTGGGCCTGGTTAGTACTTGGATGGGAGACCACTGAGAATACCAGGGGCCACAGTGAGGCGCCAGTGGCAAAACACTGCCCCACACCCACATTGCCTTGTATGAATGTATAATGTGGTAGTGATAGTGGTGGGCAGAGGGGCCGATGGTGCAAATGGGCAGCCTCACTTCTGTCAGTCTACCCAGGGCAGCTGTGGCTACAAGAGTAGTTAAGTAGTTTACCACTACCGAGTGTGGAGTGAATGAATACTGCTCAATAAAGCTCTTTGGGTGTCATGAAAAGTGCTGTATAAATGTAATGATTGACTGAAGTGAATTGAGATTGTGATTGGGAATGATTCTTGTCTGTTTTTAATGCAGTTACCATGGTGACACAATGCGCACATTACCAAATATGTCCAAGAAGTTTTACAATTGTCTAAAACTCAAGCAAAATACAAAAGGGATTGAAACAACACATTTCAATATAAATGAAAAACTAATATGCCTAATACTAGGTAGCTTATGGCTGTAGTGTTATTTGGCTCAGATCAGCTCACCAGTTGTAGTTCCAGTTAAGTCAGTTGTTTATCATCAGAACTATGTTAAAATAACTCTAGATAGAAGTCTGGAGTAACAGAGCTTCAGACAGAGCAGTGCATATAGTTAGCATCACACCCCCAGGGAATGTTTATGACATTGCATGTTTATGGCTGCAAAGTATCAGTTGTGCATATTTTGGGTTGTCTGCCATTCTGGTTTCTCTCTTGAAAACAGTTTTAAATCTGTTCTCTTTCGCATGCACAAAACCATGATTGATTCAGCATGCACTTTGTGTTTGCTAGTCTAGCCACAGCTGCCCTGGAGTTGACAGAGAAGTGGCTGCCAGCTTTATAAAATGGTTCCTTTAAGTACTGAACCATTCTGACCCCACTGTAGTAATGTCAAAGTGTACTGTACCACCTGAGCTAATCACAGTGTGGCATCATGTGGGCACAACTGTGACTACAGAATGTTCTCCTTATGTTCTCTAACTAGTACACACGCTTCTTCTAATACTGCTTTTGGACCTAGTTTAGTCTGAGGATGAATTTGCACTTTTGTTTTGATTTGGTCCTGGTTTTTAGTCTAGTTTTGTTCTCATGTAGACTTGATATGGCCCTTTTCTAAACACTATCCTTTTTTGTAACTTTTAAAGTCTCCATATTAACTTTCACTAACTAATTTTTAACAAATTTTCTAATCCATGTTATAATGTTTCCTCATCAAAAAATAAAAAAAAATTAAAAATTGCGTATTTAGGCTGAGTTCTTTTCTCAAACGGAAAACACTCTTTAAACTGTGTTTTAAACTCCATACACCTTCCCTAGAAAAAAAAAGGTTGATTTCAGCCTGGGAATTGCCAGCCTCTAGCTGTTCAAATGTAAGCAGAGCTATGAAGAGATTGACAGCTTCATAATAAAGGTTTATTTGTTACATGTGTGAATGAAACAAAACACAGCTCCAGGTATGTTTTTGAGGAGGTGTTATAACATGACTTAAAGCTCACAAAAATCATCTTGTCATGACTTTTTCAATTTGAGTTTGTTTAATATAGGACGTTTAAGGATATTTATTTAACCTCAGTGGACCTGATTTGTGCCAATAAAACACATTTTAGCCAACCTTTAATACATTTTGTGACTCATTTCAGATTTTTTTTTTTTTACTAAAAATGAACCAAAACTATACAGGACAGCTTCCATCAAATTAAATTGGACTGAATATAATTTTAGCATTACCGTTAGACCCCCAGTTTTAATCCTAGTTTAGGTCCTGGTCTAGTCTTCATTTAGTCCTGGTCCAGTCTTCGTTTAGTCCTGGTCTGGTCTTCCTTTAGTCCTGGTCTAGTCTTTGTTTAGTCCTGGTCTGGTCTTCCTTTAGTCCTGGTCTAGTCTTTGTTTAGTCCTGGTCTAATCCAAGTTTAGTTCTGGTTGTAATCACAGTTTATTCCAGGTTTTGATGTGGTGCGTACAACCTTCGTTTAAAACCTGATATTGTAGAATGACTTCAAAATGACCAATAATTTCAAATAATCGAAATCGCTATTTGAATGGACAAAATTAGCAAATCTCAAAGGCTGCAATACCCTAATTTCTTCCACAAACAACCAAATCTCCAGTCTTATTTTGCATAAAACTGCTAAACCTGTAGGTTAGATCTATATAAAATCTGAAATCTGGTTCTTGTATTCGTTTGTCACTTCAGATTTCAGACTTATTGTCGGTTCTTCTGGACGTGTGTAGAATGTGAAGTTTGAACAGAATTTTATTATTAAAACATAAATCTCAAATCTCACAATGATCTCGCAATGAGATATTTTCCTAAATCGTGCAACCCTGCTTCTTTGTATTGACTCAAATGTTGACAGCAGATTTCCTCAACGCTGCTATCTGTGCTCAAAAACAGGTCTGTGATTTCACATAGAAGCTCCAGGTTAACCATCAACCAGGGACACCCCACCTCTCCTGTCGTGTCCGTCACTCACTCTGGGCCCATCACATCCATGGGACTGCAGCCAGCACCTATGTGGGCGGGGTTTAGCCCAGGAGAGGTGGAGGGGGCCGGGGTGGAGGTGTGTGGGAATTAGGCTTTCCTTGGTCAGATCTGACTGTCTCTTACTGTCAGGTCTTTAGCCGGAGGTGTAGTGTGTAGTGACATTAGCGTTAGCAAAGATGGACATGGCAGACTACAGCGAAGCCTTGGACCCGGCCTACACAACGCTGGAGTTTGAAAACATGCAAGTGCTTTCTATGGGCTCTGGTGAGAATTATTTTTTTAAATTATGTAAAATATTGCATTTTAATTTATGGAATAATTATAAAAATCAAGATTTAATTCACAATGAACATTTTAAATATGTCCAGCAGCATTAAACTTAAAAAAACAAAAAAACAAACTAAGAATCCAATGCATTTCAGAACATGTTTGTAGAAGTCTAAACTACAGGGTTAGCAGCTTTTACACACAGTAAGACCCCATGGAGACACAGTGAGGGCATCTGACATACAGGGAGGGCATCTGACACACATTTTTGAACATGTTTGTACAGGTCTAAACTACAGGGTTAGCAGCTTTATTACCTAAATAATGCAATAAAAGTAATTTTATGATTTTATTTTATTATCTTTAATGATTTACTTAGTAGCACAATATAAAATGAGGGTATTTTGTGGTTAGGCTGAAGAATTAATACAATTCTAAATATAATGAAAATTTTTAGTCTAATTGAAATTGCTTCACTCCTAAGTGCTGCTGCAGCCGGTGACATTGCACCCTCTGCTGGTGTTTAGTGTATATAACATAAGACATTAGATGATTGAAGTAACTTGTTTTCCATAGATGAGTAGTTATACAAAGTTAATGGTGTGAAAGTTTGTGTGAAGAATGCATAGAGGTATCAGTTCTTGTAATGTCGAGTGCTATAGTTGTATGGGTTTAATGGCTTGAGTGTATTGAAGTAAAATATTAAGTTACATGTTGTCTGTTCCCACAAAATTCAGGCAAAAATGATCCGATTTAAAGTGATTTTTTTTTTCGTAGTGTAACTCAATCTTCATTTGTCCATGCACTCTCCCATGACACAGACTCGTCGTTCAAATCCTGAAATGAAAGCATTCCCACAACTTCTAAAACTCAACTTGGAGATTTAAAATTTACACATATTACTCAAAATTTCTGCAGAATTTGAACATATACAATTCCTAAATATGTACACTGCAAAAACATGTCAAATGAGTTCAGAATATCTTCTTTTGAGTATTAACTTGATTTATCTTTTAAACTTTTATATTTTTGTATTTTAAGTAAGTCAACATTATGTAACTGTGTGCAGTGTAACTAAACATTTTAAGTTTAAACAATGTGGGTTATACGAACATAGTTTTTTGCAGTGCATGTGAGCTGTTTGATTGATTGGTCTGGGACAGTAGAAAGCTGTCTCCATGAAGCCTGTTTAAATCTAATCAGAGTCACATTACTCTGCCTTGTTGACTTAGGTTTGACAAACTCAGGCTTTAATAGTCTCTGATCACTGCTAATGCCCATTCACGCCTTGTATGCTTAACTTCTTTCTGTCAAATGAGTGGTGACTGTTTTCTCTTCAGTTGTAATCACATTTACATATATTTTTATCAAGTTTATTTTAGATTGCTGATGGTTGCTGACATTGGTAGTGTGACGTCAGTGAGTGTTAACAGATGTCTGCTCGATATACAACATTTTGACAATATGTTGCAGTTTTATTTTCTTATCCCCTTGTCCCCTTGCCAAAAGCAAATCTGAATTAGTGTTTTGTTTCATTCACACATTTTGATCGTGCTGTTCCACCTGGTGATATCACAAGGAGATGGCGTCTGTTTCTCATAGCCAACAAATTATCAAATCTCTCACCTAATGTTTAATTTGAGGTTTACTTAAAAAGCCAGTTCTATGTATTTGAGGATATTGAATGACTCCATTCACAAGTTTGTCCTGGTTTGGTCCTGGTTTAGTCCTGGTTTAGTCCTGATTTAGTGTTGGTTTAGTGTTGGTTTAGTCCTGGTTTAATCTGGCTTTGGTTGTTGTTTAGTCTTGGTGAAATCCCTTTAGTCCTGATGTAGACAGAACCAAACCAAGTCTACGCTGGGAGTAAATGGACTCCAATTGGGGCTAAAATGTCATTAAAATCCAAGATGAAAGCAATACAGATGGCCTTAATAATATGCCCCTGTTTTTCTCAGTCTGTGCTTCCTTGTTATTTTATTGTTGTATGTTATAAATATGTGTGTTTTTGTTGATTTGTAACTATAGTTATTAATAGTTTTGTTTATCTCAGTTGTCACACTGGCCACAAAAGCTAGAGCCATTGTGTGTTTTACAGTGTTTCTCTGTCAAGTCTCTGTCCTTGACTCTATAAAAGATGCACTAGTTTGTCAAGTCCTATATAGCACAATTTGTTTTAAATCTTGTAAATGACCTTTTCTGTAAATATTTTAGATCCCTTTTGTTTAATTTATTACCTTTATATTCCTTTGAATTAGATTACTTCTTTAGTTTACCATTTTTCCATCTTGTTTTTTGTTACCTTCCTGACCCTAGCAGAGCTGAGTCATAACAAATATGTAATTGATTTGAGAGTTTTTGCAACACCCGCTTCTTTTTCTTTAATCTACTACAGCACTACTGTACAAGAATGAACACAGTCAGATACATCAGTATCTGTACTCTACATATGTACTATAACACATCTGTCCTGTTCCAGACGCGTCGCCCACGGAGAGCTCCACCATGAGCGGGGGCGGGGGGCACCTGGCAGCGGGCAGCCTGTGTGCCATCTGTGGAGACCGTGCTACAGGGAAACACTACGGGGCATCCAGCTGTGACGGGTGTAAGGGCTTCTTCAGACGCAGTGTACGCAAGAATCACATGTACTCCTGCAGGTAAGACTATACTCCTATATATGATTACACTATACTACACGAACCACATGTACTCAGAGCTACATCAGCTGCTCCTCTCCACGCAGCATCTCTACTCTGAACTCCTCATGTGTGACTGAGCCCCTCACCCCAGGGACCCTGCAGAGGAAGCTCATTTTGTCCACTTGTGTCCGTGATCTTGTCCTTGATTTCATTAAAGTGTTAATAATATTTCAGCCCTAATGATGTGTCTGCCTTTATCTGCAGGTTTAACAGACAGTGTATAGTGGACAAAGACAAGAGGAACCAGTGCAGATACTGTCGGCTCAAAAAGTGCTTCAGAGCTGGAATGAAAAAAGAAGGTATGATATCATATTAAACTAGTGTTTATTTAACACTATAATGAGGAAATGGGCTTATATAATATAAATAATACTTAAAAATACAGCCAGAATTGGTGGTCCCCTGCACTAGACAGGGAACCCAGTTTTGTTTTTGATCATGTCCATTATTCCCTCTACACCACAGAATGTGTAACCTCTCATGTATCTGTTAAGCACCAGAGGCCTATAGGAGGTAGAGGTGTAGTATTATAATATCTGACATGAAGGCCCCAGTGCCTCTCTCTGAGCTGTGTACTGCTCTGATTGTATTGCATCAGATTGGAGCCTTGTTAATGTTCTCTTACTAAAACCACCACTCATGCTGAGTAAACACATACAAACAGTCATAAACGTGACAAACCAGAGACTGATTTTTCTTCTAAATGACCTGCGCTGGTCTTTAGGAAGGACACTAATGAGAAGTGAATGAAGGCTATTTTTACAATTACTATTTCCTGTTAAATATTTCTAATGCAGTTTAAATGTTCATAGTGTTTGGGATGATTCAGACCAGTTCTGCTTTAGTTCTGGTTCAGTCCTAGTTCAGACCTGGTTTGCTCCTGCTTAAGTCTGACTTGTATAGTCTTTGGATTAGTCCTGATATAGACCTTGTATAGTCCTTCGTTTAGTCCTGATTTAATCCTGGTTTAGTCCTGGTTTAGTTCTTGTTTAGTTCCCTGTATAACCCCTGTGTTGTTGTAGCTGTACAGAATGAGAGAGACCGCATCAGCACCAGGAGGTCCAGTTATGAGGACAGTAGCCTCCCCTCCATCAATGCCCTTATCCAGGCTGACGTGCTCTCCAGACAGGTCAGTCTCTACGCCGGAACACACAGCATAGAGCAATATGCTCTATGTGATATTATTGTACTTATTGTACAAGACTACAGATGGAAATGTGCTGTAAAGCTACAATGTGGCACAAGTATCTCCACTTTATGCTTAATGCCCTTATAAACAAATCACATTATTTATACATATATAATATATGATATAGTTGTATATGTGATTACTATCCTGTGCTCAGATCACATCCCCGACTCCCATCCTGAATGGAGACATCAGGACTAAGAAGTTGGCCTCCATCTCAGACGTGTGTGAGTCCATGAAGCAGCAGCTCCTGGTGCTGGTAGAGTGGGCCAAGTACATCCCAGCCTTCTGTGATCTGCCCCTCGATGATCAGGTTAGAGGTTCCATACACTGTTCAAAATGTTTATCAGTATTACCACTGAGCATTACTAATGCAACTAAGAATTCTACAAAGTACTTGTCCCTTACACTCACTAATGATGAGACTTTAAGCACTGCAAAAATTCATAGATTATGACATAGAAAGACAGGTTTGATTACTACATTCTCAGAAATAAAAATTAATGAATAAAAAGTAATTTCACATTTCTCTGCACAAGTGACACAGTATGCACAGATAGTGTACTGTGTCACTAGTGTAGTTAATGTATTTTAATCCTGAGTTAGAATATGATGGTTAGTTAAAGTCATATCCTTTGAATCATTAACAGCCCTGTCTCTCTGTGGTCACTGATTTGCTGCTGTCAGCGACTCAGAGACTCTGCAGTCAGAGGATCCTTCTTCTAATCCAACAACATCTGAACTGAACTGTAACTTCTCTGTATTTATCATAAGAAAATGTTTTGACCCTAATGAAGTTTAAATGAAACTCATGTGTTGTGTTTCAGGTGGCACTGCTCAGAGCTCACGCTGGAGAACATCTGCTTCTCGGAGCTGCAAAGAGGTCCATGCTGTACAAAGACATTCTACTATTAGGTAAATATACATATGCAGGCCTTCTTTATATGGGTTATTACAGACATGTCTAATGCATACAACCTGACATGTATGTGCTATAACTATCAAAAGAATCACAAATCTGATACTAATCGAAACTAGATATTCATTTGAGTAGGTATCTACGACACTAAAATCAATACTAAAAAAGTCCCATTCACGGGACAGAAATGAAATAATTGAATAACTGAATAACTTCAGAGTGATCTGTATCAGAACAAGTATAGCACATATGGATTACATAGATTCAAGGTCACATGGTAATATAAAAGTAAGCACTGTAATTTAATGTTGAAAATCACATTCTATTTTGAGTGTTTTTTATAATCATCATGGTATCAGAATCAGTATTCAGTATAAAGGCTATTCCTTAGTATCAAAATCAAATTCAAAATTTTAGCATCATGACACCACTAGTATGTTGAAAATTGAAGTTTAGTGTGGCCCTTTCTTGTCCTGATACTGATTTGGTGGCAGAGTGGTTGGCACTATTGCATGGCAAGGATTATTCTGTTCTTGGTCCATGACTTTCTGAAGTGGGAATTGGTTTGAAACAAGCTGTTAATTAAGTATTAAAGATATATTTTAAAAATAACAGGGTGTCCTTGGAGAGCTAGTACTAGGACCAAGAATAAAACACAAACATGTCTGCATCTAAATTTACCATTTGGGGTAGTTGTAGTTGTAGTATTAATTGTAGTAGTAGTATTTTTAAGCACTATATTAGGAAGTATCCAAATCCATAAATGCTTAACTATTACAATCCAGGTCCAGCCACACCACAATATTTGCTTAACAACAAAACTCATGTCATCTGCCTCCATTTTAGTTATGTTCACTTATGTCCTGGTTTGGTCCACTTGGTTTGGTCCTGTTCTAATTCTGGTTTAGTTTCAGGTTTAGTCCTAATTTGTTTGCAAACACAGTCTAAACTCCCTGTTGTGTGCCAGGAAATGACCACATAATCCCGAGGAACAGTCCGGAGCTGGAGGTGGGCCGTGTGGCCGTGAGGATCCTGGATGAGTTGGTGCTGCCGTTTCAGGAGCTACAGATCGATGATAATGAATATGCCTGTTTAAAAGCTATCGTCTTCTTCGACCCAGGTACTAGACAGCAGGGAAACTGTTAATATAGGGCCTTTCTGTGTAGAGTTTGCATGTTCTGCCTGTGTCTGGTTGGGTTTCTTCTGGGTACAGTATGAAACGTTTTCCCCAAAATCTTTATGCTGGTTACTAAAAGGGGATAAAGTGTCATGGTTACTGTAGTTTTATCAATGCAGACAGTATGTTTTAGAATCAGAGGTTGGTAGATTAGCCAAAAATCAAACTTAAGTAAGCATACTTGAGTAAGCGTGGCGCTGCGGGCTTTAAAGCAACTTGAGGCTGCCTATAAAAGAGGCGTGGTCGACGGTGTTTGGCCCCACCTAATGTCATACGCCAGGAGGAGCCAGTCTGTCATGGCTGTGAACAGAGACACAAGAGGAGCGCAGCAGCACAGGAGCCTTAGAGTACGATTAGGCACATTAGATCACATGGAAGGTGTCAAGCTTGGTGATCAGAGTAGTAGCGCGGTCATTACTTACCTGGGCTCAGAGCAGGACCATTGGAATGCTGGCGGCGAGCCTCCCCTACATGCTGAAAAATCACCTGTTTCAAGGTTTGTGTGGACACTGGGTTCAACAAGGCCTAGGGCCCCCGCTTGGGATGTGTTACCAAGCTGCATATCTGTAAAAGAACTATCTGAATGGAGAAAGTTAAAGTGAAATGAATTGAACTGAATTGGGATACAAAATGCTTAAACTCAAAAAACAACCTTAGCATTTTTTTGTTAATAAACAATTTGCAAACCCAAATGTAAATCTTTGTCAAGTCAATTAAAACAAATCTGTGCTGCGTATTAATTGCAGGATGGTTTTCTGTTTCCCTTAAACTGGAGATGGTGTTGCTCAACAAATAAAAATATTTTGTCTACATCACTTCACAGATGAGGATCTGGTCACATAAGAGCCCGTATTACACTATTTTCTGATCTATGTTATAGTGTTTCCTCATCACAAACATACCTGTAGTTGTGCTTTGTTTCATTCACACGTTTAACACACAAACCCTGCGTATTTAGAGTTCTTCTCTCAAACAGAAAACACTCTGTTCCACATTGTGATGTAATGTGGTAATACAGGAATTGCGCCACTGTGTTTTCAAACTCCATACACCTTCTCTAGTCATTTGGATCATTTCAGACCTGGAACTGCCAATCTGTACTGAACAAAAGGTAAAAGGTAGCTGTTAACTTGAAAACTACCCATTCATGACATTACAGTAGTAGAGACTACTTTGAGAAGTATAATTGTACTATGCTCATTGTACTATGAAGTTGCACTATCCCAACATCCCCACTGCCCCGCCCGTCTGTACACAGTCCTATCATGTCCAAAGGTTTCTTTGTACACAGTTTAAACAGCTCCTCCTCTTTGCAGACGCTAAAGGCCTCAGTGACCCGGGGAAGATCAAGCGCATGAGGTACCAGGTGCAGGTGAGCCTGGAGGACTACATCAATGACCGTCAGTACGATAGCAGGGGGCGCTTTGGAGAGCTGCTGCTGCTGCTGCCCACGCTCCAGAGCATTACGTGGCAGATGATCGAGCAGATCCAGTTTGTCAAGCTCTTTGGGATGGCCAAGATCGACAACCTGCTGCAGGAGATGCTGCTGGGAGGTGAGGTACTCCAGATGACAGTGTCTCCAGGGATGCACTCTGTTCACTCCATCTCTTAACTGGGTACAAAATAATGAGAAATGAATGCTATTGTGTCCTTGGCATAGTATGGACACAGCTAACCCGCTAGCTGCACTGTCGATTGTTGACTTACAACAACGTACATTGAAAAATTGTCACCCCTCTCTCTTTAACTTCTACTGTGAACCTCATCATTTAAAAGGACTTAAAATACTCTACATGTAGTTCAAAGTTCAAAATTTGCTTTATTGTCAATTTTTTTCTATTCTTTGGGGAGTTCTGTTCTTGGGGAGACGCAGTTTGGTGGTTAGAGAGGGGAGAGAGTTCAGCATCCTAACAGCCTGATTGATGAAGCTGTTAGTGGTTTCAGGAACGAAGGCTCCTATACCTCCTCTCGGAGGGCAGGAGGCTGAATTATGAGTGGGGTGGCTTGCATCACTCACTTTTTATTTTTATGATTGCTATTTTGTCCATTAATACATTTTTTTATTCCTAATATGGAACTGGCTCCAAATTTGCTCCTATAATGGCTAGCCTCATGAGCTTCATTTGACCGGAGCCGAACACTATGGATGATAGCACACTCCCATAGTCCACTTCTTTCTACAGTCTATGGTCCTGGGCAAGACAAATTAAACACCCACACCAGTTTTTGATGTTATTGTAGTTAACTGCAGGTTTGTGACTGTTCTCCCTTGTGTCCCAGGTTCTGCCTCTGAAGCCCCTCACGCCCCTCACTCTCTGCACCCTCACCTGGTCCAAGAGCACCTCAGCACCAACGTCATTGTCAGCTCTCTGCCCACGCCCATCCACAATGGACAGATCTGTGAGTTCAACAGATACACCTTATATGTGTATTTCACTAGCAAGGACCACGCCACAGCAATGGAATACAATAAAGATGTTTATTGACAGTCCCCCCCCCCCCGAAGATGACGTCTTCAGACTGAAGGATGGGCGAAAGAAGCGTGGGAGGGAGGGGATCGAGAGAGCTGACTCTCTCTCTCTGTGTTGTCAGGATAGGCCGTATAAATTGGGCTTCTTGGTAATTAAAGGCATGATTGGCTGGAGAGGAGGTTGAGATGTGGTCCAGCTACTTAATATCACTTAATCATATTAACTCCATATATATATATATATAGATATAGATATAGATATAGATATAGATATAGATATAGATATAGATATAGAAATAGATATAGATATAGATATAGTAGCTGCTTACTAGTGTGATGTGCAACCATTCATAAAAGGTGCCTGACAGCATTTATTATTGCCTTCTCACTGGGCTCCTCAATGTTCCAACCTGGAAGTCAGTGGAGTTGTTTCTTTTATTAAACATTCCAAAATAATCGACCCATGGATATCATGGATTGTAATTATATATCAGACACAACAGTCTTCTTTAAGTATTTTCAGTAAAATAATGAATAGAACTGTGACTGTAAACTTACAAAAATCTGACATTTTTTGCAGCCTTGTTAGTCAGGTAGCTCTGGGTAATCCTCTCAGTTTTTCAGTTCTAATCTGGATTATTTAGTCAAAGAGAGCTGTTATTCTGCCCTCACACGTTTAAGTCTCTTAAATATGCCACAAAAGTGCTTATTCTGCATATTTACTGTAGCGGGTTAGCTTTTGTTTACTGTGATAAGACTCTATAGAATGTGACACTGAACAATATATTCTTACATTATCGTTTTTATTATAATGCAATGTCCATATCACTAGGAAATACATTAAATGTCCTATATATTATGCAAAATTGACTCTTGTGAGATTTAAGACGTGTTAGGATGTTGTTTCTTTATCAGAAACATATCTGGAGTTGTGTTTTCTTTCATTCACATATTTGTCTGTCTACATCTCCAAAGCTCAAAATTCTCTGTTCCACATTGAGATGTCATGTAATGGTAGTTTTCAAGTTAACAACTCATTTTACCTTTAGTTAGTAGAAATCAGACATTATCCAAATCATTTTAGTGAAGGTGTATGGAGTTTAAAAATATAACGGAGCATTTCCTCTATTACCACTTGACATCACAAAGTGGAGCAGGTGTTTTCACTTTGAGAGAAGAACTCAGACTAAATATGCAGGGTTTGTGTCTCGAACATGTGTGAATGAAACAAACACAATTCAAGGTCTGTCTGTGAGGAGGAACCAACATTTTCACAGATCAGAGAACAGCGTAATACGGTCCCTTTAAATTCAATAAACGCAAGATAAAATACACATTTACAGCTGTGCAACATTCCAGGTAAAGCATTAACATCTCCATGGGGACTACCAGGTGGCAGACCCTCCATCAGAAAAGTTGCACAATGCACCTTTAAGATTTGCTTAGTTAGTTAGATTAGTTTGCTCTTTTTCTTTTTACACTGTGAACTTGCAGTGCTGTGTTGCAAAAATATAAAAATTATCAAATGTATTAAAGTCCTAAAATCTCCATTGACAAAGTAGAACTAAAATATAGTAACACATGTTTTTGTTTGATTTTCAGCCACTCCGGAGACCCCCATCCCTTCTCCTCCAGCCGCCTCCAGCTCAGAACACTTCAAAATGGCTCCTGGTGTCATAGCAACAGTTCCCAAGCAACCCACGTCCATCCCGCAGCCAACCATCACCAAGCAAGAGGCGATCTGAAGTACAAAAATACTACTACTAACACTACTACTGCCACTACTGCAAACATGTCTACCACTGGACACTGGGGTCATAGCCAAAGTGCCCAAGCAACACAGCTCTACAAGTAGTCACCTAAAAAAATATTCTGTCAATACTACTATGACAAATACTACTTTTACTGCCAATCTCCACTACTGCCTTATATGGATGGAAGGATGGAAGAAGACATTAGTAGAATATAATTAATTTAAAGCTGTTAACAAAGTGCCTAAATGTTAAAAGTTAGGCCAAAGTTGGTTTTCATAATGGTAGAATGAGCTGGTGGCAAGCCTTTCTCACATACAGCAGCAGTTAGAATGTATCCATCAAAAATAAAATCCACAAATGTTGAAACTGCTTCAAAATCTGCAGGTTAACAACTGACATTTTTCTGCTCCTCATCTTAAAGGTGCTGTAACTGATGGTCCAAAGTTATTCCTCACTTACTTTATGCATAATGCGTATCCTAATTATTCACCTTGATGAGTTTATAAGAACTTTTCACAATTTTTAAAGATGAGAGCGAAGTTTTGCTGTGACTGTAAAGCTGACAACTAACATGTTAACCACACACTTGCAGATTCCTTTTAACTGGAGACAGAACAGCTCACTTATTTTGATCTCAGTATAGCTCTGCTGGAGTCAGACATTTTTATAGTGAATTCTGAGTGTATTTTGGCTATGTGTTGTCCATACATTCAAAACGAAATATTTTTTAATAATTAATTATTTTGTACATAAATTTATATTGAGCGTCCAAAAAGTGTGGGGCCTTTCTGACATGGATTATTTTTTTCATGTCAGTATTCAGTGGATGTTACAACTGGCCCAAATCAGGACTAAACCAAGACTAGAACAGGACCAAACCAAGTCTACATCAGGACTAAATGGGCTCAATTAAGAATAACAGAATAACAATTAAAGTGAATATAATCTCAGACTCTAAAAAAGTACATTTTCGTTACATGCTGCTTTTAAAGGGCCCATATGATACTATTTTCTGATCTATGTTATAATGTTGTTTCCTCATCACAAACAGACCTGGAGTTGTGTTGTTTCATTCACACAAACCTGCATATTTAGAATGAGTTTTTCTCTCAGACTAAAAACACACTGTTCCACCTTGTGATGTCACGTGGTAATACAGGAAATACCCCAGTGTGTTTTTAAACTCCATACACTTTCACAAGAATCATTTGGATGATTTCAGCCCTGGAACTGCCCAAGGTAAAAGGAGCTGTTAACTTGAAAACTACCACTACATGACATCACAAGGTGGAACAGAGCATTTTGGGCTTTGGAGATGTATGAATGAAACAAAACACAACTCCAGATCTGTTTTTGATGAGCTAACAGCATTATAACATGTCTTAAAGCTCACTAGAATCCATTTTGTGTAATATAGGACCTTTAAGATGATGCTCAGGATTTTTACCCCATAAATTAATTTGAATGTTGTTTTTTAAATACATTGTGTAAGATTTTTTTGTGTGTGTGTTGTAAATTTCATAATAAAGTGTGGACAATGTCAATTTGAATGCAGAAATGAGGCGTACTTTTGCTATAGAACATTTGTGTATGTCTGTCCAAGCCAGAAATGCATTAAATTGTTACATGAGAACTAGTAACTGCCACTTTGTAAGGACATAAAGACTTATTTTAGAATTATTCTGGTTTTAAAAATATATTCTATTTTTTGTTTAGTACTTTTTGTGCCTGGTGGATTGAATGTGCCTTATTGAAACTGCCTTACAAAGAGGCGATATTTCAGCCTGACAATGTGAAGTCGAGGTAATAAACTGTTGGTATGTTTTTACACTGAGTGGACCATTCTTTATAACAAGGGTGGTGGCAGAGTGGTTAGCATTCTGGTCTCACAGCGAAGAGGTCCCGGGTTAGATTCTTGGATTGTGTGGACTTTGCATGTTCTCCTTGTGTCTCGGTGGGTGTTCAAGTTTCCCCAATCAACCTAAAACGTGCACTTTCATGGTATTGTTTTAGGTGAATATTAAAATGTATTAATTATAATATGTGTCATAGATTATAACTATTGTATATAGGAGACACAAGCACAACACTAGTCCATTGCTAAAAATCAGAATATTATGAAAAGGTTCTATATTTTCACTCATTTCAGAAAGTCAAACCCATATATTACCCATATAAAACCCTTATAGACTCATGACAAATAGCGTGAAATATTTCTTGAAGTGTTATTATTGTGGCTCACCGTTAATGAAAAAACTAAATTCTGTGTCTCAAAAAAATGTAATATTACATAAGATCAATTTTAAAAAAAATAATTAAACAGAAATGTCAGGTTTCTGAAAAGTCTGTTCATTTCTTGGCACTCAATACTTGTTTGAGGTTCCTTTAGCATGAATTACTGCATCGGTTCACCGTAGCATGGAGGAGATCACCCTGTGGCACTGCCCAGGTGGAATGGAAGCCCAGGTTGCTTTGATCGCAGTCTTCAGGTCATCTGCGTGGCTGGCTCTGGTGTCTCTCATCTCCCTCGTGACAATACCCCAGAGATTCTCTGTGGGGTTCAGGTCAGAAGAGTTGCAGAGTAACACCATGGCCATCTTTTGGAACCTTTGGTTGTGTGCTCAGGTGCCAAGTCCTGCTACAAAATTAAATCAGCATCTTCATAAAGGCTGTCAGCAGAAGGAAGCATGAAGTGTTGTAAAATGTCCTGGTAGATGGCTGCATTGACTGTGGACTTCAGAAAACACAGTGGACCAACACCAGCAGATGACATGGCAGCCCAAATCATCACTGAACTTTTCCATTGATCCTCCATTCTCTGGGACCTTGATTTCCAAAAGATCTGCAAAAAGTACTTTCATCTGAAAAGACAACTTTGGACCACTGAGCAACAGTCCAGTTCTTTTTCTCCACAGCCCAGGTAAGACTCTTCTCTTTTTTGTGAAAAGAGAAGAGTCTTATAGTCTCTCTCTCTCTTTTCACAGAAAAGTGTGCTGACTCCAGCCTTAGTCCACTTCTTATGAAACTCCCCCAAATTATTGAATGGATTTTGCTTGAGAATCCTCTCAAGGCTGGGGTCATCCTTTTGACGGGTGCACCTTTTCCTACCACATTTTTTTCTTCCACTCAAGTTTTTATGAATATGCTTGGATACAGCACTCTGTGACCAACCAGCTTCCTTACTAATGACTAGGGACCCCAGGACTTCCCAATATTCAGCTTTTTCACAATTTACAAATTTTCCGAGACACAGATTTTTTTTTCATTATCTGTAAGCCATAATTCCCAGTTTAACCCAGAAACACAGAATCATGAGTCAAATGCAGAAGACATATTTACAAAACTTTGCCTGACTGTTATCAAATCACAGTCATGGGGTCTTGTTCTGTGTAAAAGCTGCTAACCCTTTAGTTTAGACCTCTACAACATGTTCTGAAAAGGTTTACAGTTCATATATCAGACTTCTCTAAAATGTTCATGCTTCTGGACGTGTTTAAGATCATATTCTAAAATAGTTTCCTTTATGAGTTACTAGTTCATCAGATAGAGGCTCGCTCTTTAAATCAGATAAGACTCCAGCGTGGCACTGATAGCAAACTGCACTGCTCCAGCACTGATAAACTGTCATAAAATCATAACGCAACAGGAACAGAAGAAACTACTGAAGCCACGATCATCTGCATTTAGGCTCGTACTGCTGTAAAATGATTATGTTTAGGTAAAGGAAAAGGAGGCACAGTGGACTGATGCAGGGTCCGCCACCTGCTTGTCTCAATGGAAATGCCTAGAATGTTCCGCAGTGTGCGCGACATAGGTGGACTATGTCTGTCCACTGGTTTGGAACCTGCTCTAGACATAAACATCAATGGTTAAGTTCTCAGAACCACTGACCCACAAGTTGCCGGTGGGATTCTAGCTCTCACAGATGAATGCTGTCATTGTGCCCTTAGGCAAGACACTTAGCCCACCTCACCCCCATTATCTATGTACACTGGTGTATGAATGTGTGTGTGAATGAGTGATGTGCCTTAAAGGTGGAACAGCGTTTTGTACAAATGTGACCTTTTACCAGAGCATGGCATTAACAACAGCAGATAATGCTAGCAGGTCAGTGTTACATGTCAGATCTGTGGAGAGGTGAAGCTGCTCACAGTAAAGATGCATGTTTTTCAAGTATTTTATTTATTTATTTATTTATTTTCAATTGTTTTTTCAGAATGCCTTTAGTTTGGTAAAAAGTTACATATATGGCTCTAAAGTGAAAGTTCATCGGTTGAATCACAAATGAATTATGGAACATTTCAGCTAAAGTATTAATATCTCCAAGGAGACAAGGAGATAATGAAACAGTACTTAACCATTTTCCTTAAAACTGATGCGATTACAGTACATCACCCAAGATAATGTCCTTAAAATCTGCAGGACACACAGCATAAGATTTATCCTCTTGGAGCACATTTGTGTTTGGCTTTGAGTCAACACAGAGTTGTCTGAGTGGTGCAGTATAGTTTGAGCCAGTGCTCTGATTTTATAGGTCCTATATTACACAAAGTTGACTCATGTGAGCTTTAAGCCATGTTATAATGTTACTTCGTCAAAAACAGACCTGGAGTTGTGTTTTGTTTCATTCACACATGTTTGAGTAATCCTTTTGTTATTATTCTCTCTATATCTCCGAAGTTCAAAATGCTCCATTGATCTTTGTGATGTCATGTAGTGGTAGTTTTCAAGTTAACAGATCCTTTTACCTTTAGTTGTGGTGAGTGGTCAGCTAGACTTTGTGATAAGTAACATGACTGCATTCCATTTACAAAGGATTTTAGGGGATATGTGCCATAATCTGCTTCCAACAAAAGATACTCCACAGACAACTCATATACTCTAGACAAATATGGAGGCACCACATGTCACTTAACTCCTCTGCTGCTGCTATTTCATGTTAAAGCACATGTGGAGGAGAGGAGGAGCCTGGAGTTTCTGCAGAAGGTACATGCTTGAATTGAACTACATTTGACTCATTTATGAAATAGGAACAATTGGATTAACACTTGTGCTTTGTGTTTTCAGCAGTCCAGAGGCTCAGAGGTGCTCTGCTGAGGTCAAATATTGTCCATTTCTTTTTACACTTTGTTGAATTTGGAGTAATTTGTTAATTTGTTACTAAATCATAGAAATAAAAACAGAGTGTTATGCATTGTTTCAAATGTGTAATGCAGCAAAAAGTTTAAAGTGAAACAATACGCTCTGTGTGCCGCCTGTGGTCTGAGGATTCAATTAACTGTCAACACATTTGTGACCATGTTTGAGCGTGTTTTCACATATTGACATGTTCCTACAATCAGACTGAGTCATTGTGGTGAAATGTATGTTGTAAAATCATCAACAGTAGTAGGTCATAAAAATCATAACAGTAATGTAAGATACTGTAAAAAGCAGGTATTTCATCCATTGCATGTTTTCATTAAATATAGCCTACAGCAAACAGGCACATTTTGTTGCCAGCTCTTTAGGGTATATTAACACTACTTTGTCTTACAGTGTGGTGCACTTTCACAATCACAGTACAGTGTAAAGTACTCTGACTTGAGTAAAGATTTTGGTTACTCTTTCCTCTGTGGCACATTTCATTCTTCATTCTGTACACACTCTGGTAAGATACTATTGTAACCACAGGTGCCCTGGGGCAGACTGACACAAGTTCAAACTGCCCATCTATGCCATCGGCCACTCTCACCTCCACCCACACTCACTCTTGTTTTGAACATTAGGGCAAAATGAAAACAGAAACATCCAATCACTGTTTCATACAGTACAATCTCAGTGGCCTTAAAGTAAAGCTCCTGTGGCACTGTCCACATGGTCCCATGTCTTTATGCGATGGCACATGTGAGTTTCTTGCCCCAGATTAGACTAAAATAGAAATGATCAAATAATGCATGTTACTTTAGTTTTCTGAAGTCGTACAAGTGAAAGGAAAGTGTTAAAGATTGCCTTATCACTAACCCAAGAGTTCAACAGAATGAAGATCTAGGCTAAGCGCGCCCCCTGCAGTTTTGAGCAAATACGACATTAAAACTAAACACTAAATGTACCTGTCAAAAAGCTTCAAAATTACAAAACCAAGACTAAATCAAGTTAAGGAAAATTATGAATTAATTCTGATGTTAATTTCATTTTAAATACAGATGATTTCTATCTGATGGAGGCAGCAATAGCAATAGGCCTATTTAATTTGTTATGATTATTGCCGTATATTGTAGTACCAATACTGATTGAGATCTCATCCATGGCTTTCAGAATGATGAAAAATTAGGATTGTTGACGAAATTGCTCAAAATCATAAATACTGTCATATAAACCCATTTAAATCAACTAAAACTTTATTTAGAAAACTCTTTTTATATATTACAGTGCAAATAATAAAACAGTCTTATGCACCCAACAGATAACCCCATGTCTTGCCAATCATCATAACATCTTTGCACTGTTTTTACTACTATACATTTCTATACTTTATTTTACTTGCCTTACATGCCTTATTTGACACCAGTCTCTTGCAATTTTCACTACTTGTTTAGAATTTTAGAATTGTTTAGAATTTTAGAATTGTTTAGAATTTATTATTACCATTTATATCTATATCTACGTATCTATCTATCTATCTATCTATCTATCTATATATATATATATATGTATACACACACAAACGGCACTGTGCAAAAGTTATAGGCAGGTGTGAAAAAATGCTGTAAACTAGAAATGCCTTCAAAAATGGAAGCGTTAATCATTTATTTTCACCAATCAACAAAATGCAGCAAATGAACAAAAGAGAAATCTAAATCAAATCAATATTTCGTGTGACCATCCTTTGCCTTCAAATGAGCATCAATTATTCAAGGTATACTTGCATACAGTTTTTGAAGGAACTCGGCTGGTAGGTTGTTCCAAACATCCTGAAGAACTAACCACAGATCTTCTGTGGATATAGGCTTCCTCACATCCTTCTATTGCTTCATGTAATCTCAGACACACTTGATGATGTTAAGGTCAGGGCTCTGTGGGGGCCACATCATCACTTCCAGAATTTGTTCTTCTTTATGCTGAAGATAGTTCTTAATGACTTTGGCTGCATGTTTGGGGTAGTTGTCCTGCTGGAGAATAAATTTGGGGCCAAACGTATGCCTCCCTGATGGTACTGCATGATGGATTGTATTGTATATTTTCTCTTTGTTACTATAATATATTGTGATGTGGGAGGTACTGTGTCCAAATCATTTCCCTTGTGGATCAAAGAGGGTTGGCTATTTCAAAGTCTATACACACACACAAGAGATGTCACACTATCACATTTTAGTTGTGAGGAGAAACATCACAAATAGCAGTACACTATGGCCAAGCAACAGTGAAATCCTTTTAATTCACATTTGTTGTCTCACATGTTACAGTATGTGGCAGTTATTTAATCAAATCAAATTTAAAATCTTGATCAAATGACATAAACAGTGAGATAAAAACACCTCTCACTTATAAACTGAACTGAAATGTCACAAGTTTTATTTTCAGCATTTAGTATTATACTGTGATCTGAATAGTTACATTTCAAACCAGGAGCTGGGAGCTGAGAGCCACCCAGAGCCCCCAGGACACACCCCAGAGAAGACATGAGACTGGGACAACTAGGCCTGTCACCATAAATACTATAACGATATATATAACAGCTGGAACTATATATTTTAGGGCCCAGTATTTATCATGTGTACAGTTTCTTTGTAAAACTGGAGAGATTTGGGGTAGTTTTGTTTTTAAAGTCAAATATTAAACAAAATTAACTCTTGTAAGCTTTAAGCCATGTTATAATGTTGTCTCCTCAAAAACAGACCTGGAGTTGTGTTTTGTTTCATTCACACATGTTTGAGAAACCCTTTATAATTATCTCTAAAGCTCAAAATACTCTGTTCCACCTTGTGATGTCATGTAGAGGTAATTTTCAAGTACCAAGCTACCTTTTACTTTTTCTGCACAAGATAGCCAATTCCAGGGCTGAAATAATCCAAATGATTCTACTGAAGGTGTATGAAGTTTAAAAACACAGTGGAGCACTTCCTGTATTACCACAATATCAGAGGCGTAACAATGTTTTCTGTTTAAGAGAAAAACTCATCTTAAATATGCGTGTAAAATATAAATTTGTGTGTTAAAAATGTGTGAATGAAACAAAACACAACTCCAGGTCTGTTTGTGATGAGAAAATAACATTATAATTGATCAGAAAAATGTGTAATATAGGCCCTTTAAGATGATAATATTTAAGCTGTGAAAGGTTAAATAGGTGAAATCTATGGCTGATTATTATTTCATTCTGTTATTTTTTGCAACTCAGGCCTTTTGAAGGACAGTGTCTATTTAAAAATGTTTCCTGGCATTATCCTGCCTTACTGTTACCGTGTCAGTGGCATAAAGTAGTTCAGTATTTTCGTTTATCAAAATTAATCTCTGAAGCAATATATCGTACGTCAAAATAAGTAACAGGCCTAGAGACACCAAACCTCCACCAGTGCAGAGGGCTCCTAATGTAATTTCTTCAAAATAAAACAATAGATTATAATCATAAACAAACGAAATCAAGTTTTTGATTCACCGCATTTGATTGAATAAGGTAAAACCCATGGACTGTGTGTGTGCTCTTGTGTATTGGCTTAGGTCAGAACAGCTGTATAACCTCTCTTCCTGTGTGTGATCATGTGTCCTTTGAGATGAGGTCTTTGAGTGAAGGTTTTGCCACACAGTGAACACCTGAATGGTCTGTCTCCTGTGTGAATCCTGATGTGCTCGTCCAGATGACCCTTTTGGCTAAAAGTTTTCTCACAGAACGAACATCTGTAGGGTTTTTCTCCTGTGTGCGTTCTCATGTGGATTTTGAGTTTTGAGGTGATGACAAATGCTTTCCCACACACTGAACAGCTGTAAGGTTTCTCTCCTGTGTGAACTCTGGTGTGGATTTTTAAATTTTGCTTACTGGTTAATGTCTTTTCACAAATGGGGCACTTATGGAGCTTCTTTCCAGTTCTTTTGGTGGTTCCTGCCATGTTGCTATCAGTGACACTTGTCCCTGGTTCTTCAGCCTCTGTCTCCATGTTTCCTGAACAGCTGAATGGAGCTCTCCAGTCTTCATCGTTGTCCGTGCCACACTCTCCCTCGGTCTCTGGCTGTAATAGTGGCTCCTCTCCTTCTGTGTCCTCTCTAGGCTCAGTTTGCTGAAACTGTGAGGACTCTTCACCCTTCACATTGACTGGACTTGAACTGGACTCTGGGACAGACCTGAAAAGTAAAGGCACATTATGTAACATTTCTGGAGAAGAGCAACCTGTTTATCTCTATGAAGATGTTATAGCTTTGCTTGGACTGTTCCCAAGTATGGTTTTATATGTATCTTTACTCATTCAAGATTAATTTTAGCTATATTTATAAATTCATACATGAGTGAGACTGGACCAATCACAGGGCAGTATTGTTAGCTTGGTGAAGCCAGTAAGAATGCATGTTTTTGAATGTTTGTTTTTTCCTTGCAATAAAACATCTGTAATTGAATAAATGTAATATAAGGCCATGCAGTGGAACATTTTGGACAAAGCAATAATATCTCCAGGGAAATTCTATATATTCTATAATGTCAGTGCCAGTAAAACCACAGGCAATTGATCTTAAAAGACCCTACACTGAGAGCGGCTCTTCCTCCTGTTTGATGCACTGTTCCTCTGGCTCCTCTTTCACCTGAACAGGACAGACAGGAGGAGGGTTCGGGATTTCCTGGTTCAAAGCCTGGTTTAGTCCCTGGGTCAGTCCCTGGTTCAGTTGGTGGTTTAGTCCCTGGTTTAGTCCATGGTTCAATTCTTGGTTCAGACCGGGGCCAGGGCTCGCGGGGATAGTTCTGATATCCGCCCTGAACAGCAGCACGGTTCTCGGGTTCAGAGCCTGCAGCAGCTCCAGTTTCCTCTGGTTCTCCTCTTTAGAGCGGCGCAGTTCCTCCTCATACTCCGCTATCGATCTTTCAAACAGCGCAAAGATCTCTTCCGCAGCCGCCGTCAGCCGCGCATTTACCAGATCTTTCAGCATTTGTCCTTTAGACATGTTTATTGTTTTTAGCTTTAGCTCCGAGCTAACACACGTACGGCTCCCAATGACGCGTAAGGTGCTTCATTTGGACCAATCACAGGACTTTTCTCCCATAACACGGAAGTAAAAAAACAAAACAAAAAACAACAGAGTCCTGGGTCAAATACAGTTTTTCGTATGGACAATTTTTAAAAAATATTTTTGTTAACATTTCATAAGAATAAAAAAAAAAAAAAATCCCTTCTCTGGCCTGCGACATCTACAGACAGGCTATGAGCGCCACCTTCTGCTTTGAACAAATAATAACAGCAACAACAAATTCTCAAAAGATGTTCGTATGTAATGACTCAAAACAACATGTTATCATATTTTTAAAGCGAAGCATTTGTGTGTAAAAGGCAAAAAGTAATGAAAGCTGACAAAATCAAATAAACTAAGAAAACAAGCCCAAGTATCTCAGGGTCTTCTTCAAGAGTCAGGGGAGGATGGAGTGTGAGATTGACAGGCAGATCAGTGCAGCATCTGCAGTGATGCAGACATTGTATCAGACTGTTGTGGTGAAGAAGGAGTTGAGTGCAAAGGCAAAGCTCTTGTTTAGTGTCAATCTACTTTCCTATTCTCACCTATGCTCCCTGGTTAGGTCCTGGTTAGGTCCTGGTTAGGTCCTGGTTAGGTCCTGGTTTAGTCCTGGTTTAGGTCAAGTCCTGGACAAGTCCAGGTTTAGTCCAGCTTTAGATTTACATTTCTACTCTCACTCATGAGCTTTGGGTCATGGCGGAAAGGACAAGAACGGGGATACAAGTGGTCAAAGTGAGTTTTGTCTAAAGGGTGGCTGGGCACTCCCTTAGAAGTATGGTGAGGTGCTCAGTCACACAAGAGGAGCTCAGAGTAGAGCTGCTGCTGCTCCTCTGTGTCAAAAGGAGCAGCTGAGGTGGCTCTGTTCCGGATGCCTCTTGAATGCCTCCCTGGGGATCCTGGGAATGCCTCAGGATTCCCCCTGGAAGAGCTGGTGAAAGTTGTCCGAGATGAATGAAGTCTGGTCTTCTCTGCTTGCACTACTGCCTCCACGACCCAGCCCAGGATAAAATGGAAGAAGACAGGAGTATAAATAGATATTCTATTGCACTTAGTATAATGATATAGTGTATCTTAATATTATAGTTTAACGGTTCGTTGTTTATTTTTTAAAAACTTTTTTTCTATTATTGCTGTTTTTGTTTATCAGTGTAACACTAACACTTCCCCATGGTGGGATTTATAAAGGTCTTCTTATATAATTTGATTTCTCTCCAAGTGAGTTGTCATATGTCTTTTGAGATAAGCTTTTTGAGCAAATGTTTTCTCACAAACTGAACAGATGAAAGGTCTGTCTCCTGTGTGTAACCTGATGTGTTCATTTAAATTACCTTTCTGGCTAAATGCTTTCTCACACAATGGACAGCTGAATGGCCTGGCCCCTGTGTGTGTTCTCATGTGGAGTTTTAGTGTAAAGCCAACCGCAAACTTTTTTCCACAAACTGGACAACTGCAAGGTTTTTCTCCTGTGTGAACTCTAGTGTGGATTTTTAAGCGATGCTTAGTCCGAAATGTCCTTCTGCAAATAGAGCACTTGTGTTCTGTGGTCTTGTCAGTTCTTTCAGCTGTTCCTGTCATGTTGTTTGCAGTGACACTTGTCCCTGGTTCTTCTGCCTCTGTCTCCATGTGAGCTCCTGAACAGTTGCATGGAGCTCTCCAGTCTTCACTGTTGTCCGTGTCAGACTCTCCCTCAGTCTCTGGGTTTAACTGTGGACCCTCTCCCTGTGTTTCCTCTCTGGGCTTAGTTTGTAGGAGCTGTGAGGACTCTCCTCTCTTCACACTGACAGAACTGGACTCTGACACAGACCTGAAAAGGATTTAAAGGATCACTATGTAACTTTTCTGCTGGTAGGTTCACTACCTGCTTGTCTCCATGGAAAAGTTATTGCTTTTGAGTTAATGCAATAATAAATATGAATAAGGCCATACTGTATAATGTTTCGAACAATAATATCTCATTGTATCAGTAATATCTCCAGGGAGGTAAGCAGGCGAATTTATATTGTGAACCTTTATATTTATTCAACAGTTTGACTGTCAGTAAAACAGAAATTAGGTTAATTTAAAATGAGCCTACACTGAGAGTGACTCTTCCTCCTGTTTGATGCACTGTTCTTCTGGGTTCTCTTTAATCCGTGGAGTTTTCGGGATTTTCAGGTTTAGTCCCTGGTTCGGTCCCTGGTTCATACTCGTGGGGCCAGTCCTGATATCCGCCCTGAACAGCAGCACGCTTTTCGGGTTCAGAGCCTCCAGCAGCTCCTCTTTCCTCTGGTTCTCCTCTTTAGAGCGGCGCAGTTCCTCCTCATACTCCGCTATCGTTCTTTCAAACAGCGCAAAGATCTCTTCCGCAGCCGCCGTCAGCCGCGCATTTACCAGATCTTTCAGCATTTGTCCTTTAGACATGTTTATTGTTTTTAGCTTTTAGCTCCGAGCTAACACACGTACAGCTCCCAATGACGCGTAAGGTGCTTCATTTGGACCAATCACAACGTCTCCCACAATACGGAAGTGATTAAACTAAAAGTCTTGTTAAAACGATTTCTTTTTTCCTTCTTTTGGGCAGTTTGTATGTACATTCATACACATAGAATTTCATAAGAAAATAAATATCCCTTCTCTATAGGCGAGAAAGACAGACTAAGAGCGCCACCTTCTGCTTTGAACAAATAACAGCAGCAGCAACAAACGCTCAGCAAATGACAGCATTCAGGATATTCTATGTCATGTTCTCTTACTATTTTCAAAGCAAGGTATATAGTATAATGTGTGGTAAATAAACCACATGGCAGGACTTCTGAACTTTGAAATGTAATCATCTTTATTTATACACTTTATAACACTTTGATTAAAAAGGGTTACAAGGTGCAATAGGCTCCAAATAGCATAACAAATAGTATATAATAACGGCTACATGTAGAAAAGAGAAACTGAAAGCAGACAGACAGAGATCAGCAAAATAAATAAGCAAAGAAATTATAACAATTTCAAAATATAATATTAAAGAAAAGCCATTTGATAAAAATTAGTTTTAAGAAGTGATTTACAAGGGGATACTGGATCAGAAATCTATGCTTGTTAGACCTAAGCTTTTAATGAATGTAGTAGAATCAGTAAAATCTAAAAACTCACAGGCAGCAGCTGTTTTCATCTGTTTAAACCTATGACAAGCTTCACTGCTCTGTTCTGAACCAACTGGAGGACAGGGATTTACTGTTGGTCAGAGTGGAGGGAATTAAGAGTAGTGGTGAAGAAGGAGCTGAGTCCAAAAGCAAACTCTCATTTATTGTCAGTCTACATTCCTACCCTCTGGTCCCTATGGTCATGAGCTTTGGGGAATGACCGAAGGGACAAGAAGTGGTCGAAATGAGTTTCCTCCACAGAGTTACTGGGCGCTCTCTTAGAGATAAGGTGAGGATCTGAGTCACAAGTGAGGAGTTGGCATAGAGCTGCTACTCCTCCATGTCAAGAGGAGCAGCTGAGGTGGCTCAGGCAACTCTTCTGGATAAAGCAGAAGAAAATGGATGGATATTCTATTGCACTTAGTATCTTATTTGTAGTTATTATAATTTAATTATATAGCCAATAGGATTAAGGCATGTTTTTAATTATCTATATAGATTTTTTAAATTAATTTATTTTTTCCTTTTTTTAAAATCTACTCCTACTTGTTTGTTGGTGCAACACTGACATTTTGCCATTATAACAGCTGGTCCTTTTCAGTGTGTGTTGTCATATGTCTTTTAAGGTGAGATCTTTGAGCAAATGTTTTCTCACAGATTGAACAGCTGAAAGGCCTGTATCCTGTGTGTATCCTGATATGTCCATTAAGATGAGACCTTTGACTAAATCTTTTCTGACAGAATGAACAGCTGAATGGTCTGTCACCTGTGTGCGTTCTCATGTGGAGTTTGAGAGTGGAGCCAACCGCAAACCTTTTTCCACAAACTGAGCAACTGCAAGGTTTTTCTCCTGTGTGAACTCTAGTGTGGATTTTTAAGTGATGCTTAGATCGAAATATCTTTTCACAAAAAGAGCAATTGTGTTCTGTGGGCTTGTCAGTTCGTTCAGCTGTTCCTGTCATGTTGTTTGCAGTGACACTTGTCCCTGGTTCTTCAGTGTCCTCCGTCTCCATGTGAGCTCCTGAACAGTTGAATGGAGCTCTCCAGTCTTCACTGTTGTCCGTGTCAGACTCTCCCTCAGTCTCTGGGTGTAACCGTGGCTCTTCTCCCTGTATCTCATCTCTGGGCTTAGTTTGGAGGAGATGTGAGGACTCGTGTCTCTGCACACTGACAGAACTGGACTCAGGCACCTGCAGCTGATCCTTCTCATGTTTGACGTGTTGTTCCTCTGGCTCCTCTTTAATCTTTAGAGTTTTGGGGATTTCCTGGTTTAGTCCCTGGTTTAGTCCCTGGTTCAGTCCCTGGTTCGGTCTTTGGTTCGGTCCTTGAATCAGTACCTGGGTCAGTCCCTGGTTCGGTCCGTGGTTCGGTCCTTGGTTCGATCCTTGATTAGATTCCTGGTTCGGTCCCTGGTTCAGACTCGCGGGGATAGTCCTGATATCCGCCCTGAACAGCAGCACGGTTCTCGGGTTCAGAGCCTGCAGCAGCTCCTCTTTCCTCTGGTTCTCCTCTTTAGAGCGGCGCAGTTCCTCCTCATACTCCACTATTGTTCTTTCAAACAGCGCAAAGATCTCTTCCGCAGCCACCATCAGCCGCGCTTTTACCAGACCTCTCAGTGTTTGTCCTTTAGACATCTTTACTCTGTTTTTAGCTTTAGCTCCGAGCTAACACACGCGCAGCTGCGTCTCCCGAGCATAACATGCGTCACGTGTTTTGTTTGGACCAATCACGGGGATTTTTATCCTCAACACGGAAGTGATTAAACGATCCTCGCAGACAGGTCGGTTTTCTCTTTGCATCTTCTCTTTTGGGCTAATTTACATGATTCATTATCGTATTTATGGTTTTGAATACATGTGCATGCTTTATGATAATAAAATATCTTAATAATAAGCCATTTTGCTCCATTATTTATGGAAATCTTCGTATTTTGACGCATAATCTTTTCTTTCCTAAATTTGGCACAGTGTCGCTATACCAATCATATTTTTGTCGGTGTGTTCTTATAAAAATGATAAATGTGTTGCTGAAGTAATGCAATTTAAATATAATAATAATTATTATTATTATTGTCTTTTACAACAAACAATCTTTCAGTCAGAAATGAATCAAATGATGAGATAGATGTTGTTCCCCAAAACATCTGTGTCAAATCTTTGAATAAAGCATGTGCACAGAAAGCCATACTCAGACATTACCATGAATACAGTCAGGATCAAAACTACATACATATATGTTTTGTGCAAATATCAATACTGGGAAACAAATCATATTAATAGGACAACATTTTCCTAAAATAATTTCTAGAGCTTTATATATAAGACCACCTGGTAACTACTATTAATGATATATTTTTTCATCATCATCATCATCATCATCATCATAGTGTAGAAATTGGTATTGAGTATCCATTATTTTCCTTATTATCAAATTCAAGTTTGAGATTGTAGCATCAGAGTACAAGAATGATGGTATAATGAAAATTATAAAAAAAAAATAATAATAAAATAAATAAATATGTATATATTTTGTCAGTCCATGGCAGATCAGCATGAGTCCATTGACCTGGGTTCTCCTCCCCTGGGCCCTGAGGCGCAGTCGGGCTGGTTCCCTGGTCCTCCTCCGCCTCTATATGTCTGCACTCTCACCCCAGCACTGGAGGCGAAAGCCAGGGACGAGCTCCAGGAGAAACCAGAGTGGAGGCTCCGAGACGTCCAGGCTCTGAGAGATATGATCCTCAAGGTTAGAATTTCATTCACATAAATTACACAACACAATTATCTCAATATTAACCTCATGACAATAGCACTGGGCCTTTGTAATATGATGATAAAAATCTGATTATGATCTTAATTCTGTTATTTAGTTATTCTGATTGTGATAGCAGGATTCAGAGTTTAACAACGCACATAATAACTTATCATAACTATTGTGTATTTTAAAGGTCCAGCCCTTGTTTATATTATGGTTTCTAGGGAACAGAACAGGAATTACCTCTACGTATTTCATATCAGCTACCATGTCCAACCAGGAAGAAAAATTCTAAATGTCACCCAATTAAAAAACTACAAAACACCCAGTAAAGTTTTTAGTAAAATCTTAAACATAACATATTAGTGACATCCTTAGTCTAAACTGGCATATGCATTTTTATGAAGTACAAGTAGACTCGAAGTATAAGTAGACATACACCAGATCAATTTGATGATCAGTTGGAAAACAGACTTGGAGGCCCACTTGTTTATAAATAATCAATGTATCAAGTGAAACAAAATACTGTGTTTTTTTTCCTTTTCCAAGAGTTATAAAATAAATTGTAGATATTTCAACCTTTGTTTGGTTAACAATGTGTTTAAAAGTATCACTGTAAAATAGAAATGATCACTGACTACTAAAATAATTGTTAATAATAGGTAGCTGCAGGCCTTCACTTGCATGTTATCCTGTCACGATACTTACCATGTCAACTTAGTGTTCAATTAATGATAGCTTGAATAATAATATTTATTCATATATTTACTGTGGGTCTATTTTCCTTCTACTAGAGGGGTACTTTTTTGTTATTTTTCTGATTTGAGCTGTATACTAAGTGAATAACTGCTACTACTACAATTCTGCTAAACCGGCTTGTCAAAGGCTGATCTGTGAGTAAAGAATTAATGAAGTGGGTGTCTTGAAAGTTGCTATATATATATCCAATGGAGGGGTTCTGCTCAATTGTTGTGTTAGTTTTTAGTGTTTACATGTTTTTGTGTTGTGTGCAGGAGCAGCCTAACCTCCGGACACGTCTTGATGATGCATTTCTTCTGCGTTTCCTTCGGGCACGAAAGTTTGACTATGACCGCGCTCTGCAGCTGCTCCTCAAGTACCAAGCTGGGAGGAAGGCTTGGCCCGAGGTCTTCCAAGACCTGAAACCCTCATCAGTGAAGCACGTTCTGGAGCTGGGCTTTCTCACAGTGCTGCCCAAACCAGACCCACATGGACGCTACATACTCTGCCTCAGACCAGGTTATTATGCCCAGGACTGAACCAGGACTGAACCAGGACTGAACCAGGACTGAACCAGGACTGAACCAGGACGGAACCAGGACTGAACTAGGACTGAACCAGGACCGTACTGTAAACAGATATGTTATCCAAAGCTGCATTAGCACATGTGTTGTCTGTTGGCGTGATTGATTCCTGCTACTCTTTCCAGGGAAGTGGAAGCCCAACGACTACCCATTTGTGGACAATGTTCGTGCTCTGTACCTGACTCTGGAGAAGCTGATCCAGCCGGAGGAGGCACAGGTGAACGGGATCGTGATCCTGGCTGACTACAGCGGAGTCGGGATGTCTCAGGCCTCCAACCCTGGACCTTTCCTCGCCAAGAAGGTTGTCAGCATCCTACAGGTCAGAACACAAAACACAAACATCACTATTATTGTTAGTGTAGTTAGTATAGTGTATGTTATAACAGCTGCAACCTGTGTATTATTCATTATTTATACTGTGAAAACATACTGCCGTATTTTCCGAACTATAAGTTGCTCCGGAGTATAAGTCGCACCAGCCAAAAAATGAGCAATGAAGAAGAAAAAAACATATATAAGTTGCACCGGACTATAAGTTGCACTTTTTGGGGAAATGTATTTTATAATATCAAAGACCAGGAACTGAGATTTCATCTTGAAAGTTATAATAATAACAACACAATAGAGAACAACAGGCTGAATAGGTGTTAATATGTTAACGTAACATATAAACAGTTATTCAGATAATTATAGCATAAACAACAGAACATAAGTTTACCAAACTCACGATCTCACTCCAAATCATTAAATCCATTGAATTCTTCATCCTCGGTGTCACTTCAGCGCAACCACCGGAGATAAACCGTAGATCCATGATGTAAACGGAGCACCGCTTCCTCTTCTGCATAGCTGTTGTTAGATTCAGCATCAGTTCCAGTTAGAATAATTCCAGCCTTTCTGAATCCCGACAGGATGGTTTCAGTTGTCTTTGAAGTTCAGGCTTTGATTCATCCAGTAACTTCCAGGAAAATTGCATGTCGCACTCTCCCAGTTGCCTTCAAGCTGTGTTCTCCATCCCCACTTTCTGCCAGTCCCTCACAAGTTTTTGCTCACTCCATACTTTCTCACTGCTGCTCAAATACCATTTTCGGCTGCATATTTCACTATTTGCGGCAAGACAGCGGCTTTTTCTACAGGAGGCATGCGCAGTAGAGTGCGAAGTGACTGTAGTACAGGAGTAATAGTAGTACTAGATACTGACACACAAGCCTATAGTGCCTCTCGTGGCTGTCAGTCTGAAAATTTTAATATATAAGTCGCACAGGAGTATAAGTCGCAGGACCACCCAAACCATGAAAAAAGCCCGACTTATAGTCCGAAAAATACGGTAATATTTTTTCTTTTACTTCACAGGATGGGTTTCCAATCAGAATCAAAGCTGTAAACATCATCAATGAGCCCAGAATCTTTAAAGGAATCTTTGCCATAATCAAACCTTTTCTGAAAGAGAAGATGGCTGAGAGGGTGAGTAGCAGACCCTCCACCTGAGAAGTTTCATCGTGCGTCTTTAATAATCGCCCTGTGTTGTTCTTCAGTACGTCCTGCACGGCTCAGACCTGCGCTCACTGCACAGACACATCCCTCGCTCAGTCCTGCCCCCGGAGTATGGAGGCACTGCTGTAGACCTGGACCTCGGGGCTTGGTCCAGACTCCTCCTGGACTGTGAGGAGGAGTTCATCGTGGAGTTCTGCCAGCCCGATCCACTAGAGGGCGTCGTGCTGCCAGACTCCATGCTGTTTGAAGGAGACGGGGCCAGTGGATACGAGGAGGACAGCTTCAGAGCCCTGCGCTCACAGTTGTACTACTGCTACTGAAAACGCCGCAGAGGGAGTATCTGTGTGTATTAGAATGATTTGAATTCACAGTTTAATAGGCTGCGTTCACATGACATCCCAACATTGTAGAATCCCTATAGTTTAAGGGAAGCTGGAGGACAGGTTAGAATTGACCCTGAGTACCACGACAGCAGGCTACTTCCTTTCAGAGGGAGGGATGCTGAAGCCATTTGCGCTTGAGGTTTGCGCTGAGTCGTGATAATACCAATAAATCCTGACAGATTAGACAGTGACAGGGAGCTGTGTGTGGATGTCACTGACAATTGACATATGTTAAACACTTTACAAAGAGAAAACTGGAGGACACTGCATTTAGCAAAGTAGATCTTTGTGTGTCAATCCTTCTTTTAAAACATTAAATGTAACATAAAACAGAATGAAATTTCTTGTAAAGACAATTATTTGTATACATTATACATTCCATTATATATTATTGCCATCTGTGGTATTATTGAAATATTTATTAGCCTTTGAATTAGCAATAGCATTGGCACACAAAGAGTTTGTAAAAGCAGACATGTTCTGTGGTGAACTTTTCCTCGCATTTGTAAAGCCTGTTCTGTCCTGGAATTTGCTGTTTAACTGTTAGATTGTAGATTTGTTTAAAAAACAGTGAGTCTCCCATAGAGTTACACAAGCCCCTGTCCTCCATCTAAAATTATAACATCAACAATTTTTTAAATGTGAATGCAACCTATTATCAACTAGAGTGGTTTTAAGGTTAAGATAAAGATGATCAATATCACCACTCAAATGAGTTCACATTGTTCTAACACATGAAGGTTATACTTTTCAATGCATATTCTGTTTCATAAAAAATAGGTGGGTACATTTAGAGGGTAAATGCCAATATAAGACATAATTTATTTTAATAGAAAAGTCCGATATGTAGTTTATACGTAGCCCAGCTCCTGTAGCTGCAGGGCTGAGTCTTCTGCATGGGTAGCCTTTGTTTATCTACTGCAAAAATGTAAACATTATTTACTTGAACTAACTTTCATTTTAATGTATTTACTTCCTTATTTTACTTAAAGAAACAGTTTGTAGCCTGCAATCTTACAGTTTTAAAAAGGTACTACAATCACAACTGAACCTGGGTTGTGTTGCCAGAGCCATAACTTGCAAATAGAGGACACATCCAAGCTTTACAGTATGTGGACATGGTGAGGCTCATTCTGCTGTCTGATTGAATAATTGTCTTGAGAACCAAAACACAAAATTATAACCTGAACAACTTGGCCTTCATGTCCAGTGTCCAGTCGTAATTAAGAATAAATATAATAATAAATAATAATACACAATAAACAGCATTACAATTATTAGTAGTAAATGTTATATTGTATTTGAACATGTTTGCCTCGTATCTGAGGACACAGACAGGTCAAGTTTATATAATACAAAGTCAAAATCTTACATACAGTTTCTTTAAGAGTACTGGTTACTACTTCCTGGGTCTAGAGTACTTTTGAAGAGATTTCTGAGCAGTTCAAGTTTTATGACTTGTTAGATATTTTACAGTGTAGCGAAAGGCAAAACAACTATTAGCCATACTTAAAAAAAAAATCCATCCAGCTTAGTATATTTGAATTTAGTATTATGAACTCTCAATTGCCTTAAATGTATTTTGTGTTTGCCATATTGATAATACTGTACCAAAGCAATACGGCACATCCTCACACTGCTCTGTGAGAGGAAATGTGTCCTCTAGTTTTAAAGGAGATGTATATTATTCCCAATATTGACCTTTTTACCAACTCACAGATGGAGTTCTCATGGGTGCCAGAAGAGGGCGCAAACGCCACAATTATACATCAGTGCACTGCTACCGCAATATGGATTTGAATTCCAAGACAAAACACATTTTCAACCAGTGCAATTTAAAGGTGAACCGTGTAACTTTTCTGGTGTGGGGTCTGCCTCCTTAGCGACATCATTGCTTTGCCTGGATGTTCCACAGTATTGCATTAATCATATCTATATTTTATATATTCAAATGCAATTAAAAACTTAGAAAAAAACACACTTTTACTGTGAGCGAGGCAGTCATTAGCCATAGCAATTAATGACTTCAAACAAAATATCCTGCCTTTTGAATGGTAAGAAGTCCTCAAAATGTCACCTATAACATGAAGCCGGAACAATGAATAGATAAGTTAAACTCCATATTGCATATAATTTCAGGCAAAACAATAACATCCCCATGGAGACAAGTTGGAGATAGACCCTCCACAGTGCACTTTGTTGGTTAAACTTCAATTAACTGTGCCGCCCTTCTCTAAATATTGAGATAATGTGCATGAAGTGTCTTGCTCCATGACATGACAACTTGCACCATTTGAAGCTGGCATCAAACTACCAACTCTTCTGTTAAAAACCACTGAGCCACTGTTACCCTCACGCCATGGATTAAGCTGCAGATGCCCTTCATGCATTCTTTAAAGATGCACTGTGTAACTTTTCTGGTATAATTGTACAGCACCTGCTTGTTTCCATGGAGATTAAAAGAATGCTAGAAATAAAAAAGAAATAAAGGCTATATGTGGACTTTTAATGCCATATTGTGGGACATTACAGGCAAAGCAGATGGTATACTCTTCTCCAGAAAAGTTCCACATTTCATCTTCAAGTCACAAAATGTTCAGGTATTTTTAAAAAGGCAGAATAAAATGTAATATGTCTCCTTTAAGCATATTATGAAGCTAAAATCCAGTGTTCAAGGGCCTTTGTTCAAATTTGTGCTTTAGTAAGTTGTGTGAATGTCTTTAGATCAATTTGTATTGTTTTATATTTACGCCTTATTTTTGTTCTTTATTCTAGAATTGTCAACTTTAATACTTGATTGCCTGGGGAATCTTAACACTGTAGATGTGAGGAGGGGTCTGCTACACAACTACTGGAAAAGTTAGTTCACCTTTCAACATTTAGTAGCATTTTTGTTGCAGTTATGTTTTCAAAAAAAAAAAAAAAAAAAAAAAATCATTTTAATTCAATTTAACAGCACTTTTTTTTTTCTTTTTTGGTTACCATGCTTTTGATAAATATATTTTTTCCATATAATTGCTATTTGATTTTGAGCAGTACCAAAGTCTTAGAAATGTTTCTTGTTGCTTTCCATATGATACAGTTTTAAAAGTACAGTATGCAACTTTCTGGAGGAGGCATGTCACCTGCACGATTCCATGGAAAAGTTAAAACCATACTTCGAAACATTCTCCTTGGAGATAGAAGTTTTATGTGATTGTGTGGAATATCATAGCCATGGAAACAGGCAGGGGGACGTCCTCCTTCAGGCCAAATAAGAGTCAAGTTTGTGGAGATGCAAGCCCACTCACGGTAAGGATGCATGAAAACCAAACCACAAAACCCAAATGAAAAAGTATGCTTTTATTTTAGTCAATTTTTTAGCTACAAAGTTACATTTTAACTAAGATTTTTTACCAAAATAAATACAATAAATACCGGCTTACTATTTTTATTTTTATTTTTAAACAAATGCATGTACAGTAGTTCCTTACCAAAATTATGGTCATTTTATGTGCTTCAATCACTGAGTCTAGTTTATTTGTTTAGTCATATATTTTTTGTTTCTTTGCTGGCTGCTTTTGTCATTTTTTTTAAACAGTTTGACTATAGAAATGATTTAGTATCACAATTGTGTAGGAATTAAGAAATGGGGTGAACTGAACTTTTCCACACAATAATACATTAAGAACAGTGAATAGAAGTGTGTTTTGCCAAACTGTACATAAGGCCATGTGAATATGTGCAATAGTGTGGATGTTGTGTTATTTTTACAGTTTTGTTCAAGTCATGCATGTTACCATATGATTCACTGTGTTAGATGATGTTGGTAAAGATTGAAGTTCTATTGAAGTGTCTGTCTGTTTTGTACCTGCTACTGTGTCCTCTTATGTAACATTTGATAGGGCTGTTAACGTTTTATGAGGGGACTGTACGCTTTACAGGATCAGATGACCTTCACATGGCTTCATCCAATCATTCAATGCAATGTGACCAAGATGTACAGTAAGGATACACTGTACTAACTGATTTATACGTTCCTTCAATTGAAACTAATCTAGTATTGTCAAGATGAATTTCAAAGTCAATACTAAGGAATAGACTTGGTACTCAATACTGATTCTGATATCATGATGACATGTCTTTATTTAGACAATAGAAAGTGATTTTCAACATTAAATCATAGTACTTTCATATATTACCATGTGGTCTTATATCTGTGTACTTCCTCTGTGGTCCAGGTAGGTTCCATAGTGGTCCATGGGCGTATACTAGTCTATGTGCTCTTATACTTGTTCCGATACAACTCAAGATCATTCTAAAGATATTCAGGAAAGCTTCATTTCTGTCCTGTGAATGTGACTTTTTTCAGTATCAGTACTTCAAATGAGTATCTTTTTGATACTAGTTTTAGAATCGATTCGCTTCTGATACTTTTGACAACCCTAAACTAAACACAAAATCGTGTTGTATAAAATTGTATATGGTGTTTTAATAGCAATATCTACTGTTCTTAGTCACTTCTTATTTTTTATTTTTTTGTCAATTTGGCAAATAGATTTGCAATTTGTGTGGTCACTGCAATTACCTGTACAATGTGACATCACTCAGGACTACCCTGATTGAGACAAGGGGCCCGATCTTGCCTCTGGTATTAGCACTAGTGCCAGCATTAAAGAGGGGGCGTGTTCAGGTCGGACTGTACTTCACTGCTGGAGGCTAGAGTGGGACGGTACATATATGGTGATGAAATCTGAACCAATCTGTGCCTGCTGTAGCATTTAAAAGCACTGCCAGCCTGGGTAATGTCTGCGATGTTTGCCTCTTTACCAGGCAGCAAAGAGAGGTGTGGAAAAAAATTATGTATGGGTCCAGTAAAACAGCTCCAGAGCCCAAAGATGCAAGTACGCACCAGTAGAGATGCCAAAAATACAGAATTTTGGATGGGCCATGACAGAACTGACTGGGTTTGTGTTCCGAACACTCCACGTGCATGTGCGCCCCTCTCACGCACATGCATCCCTGTAAGCCCGTGTCAGCCTGTGCACGCACACACGTCAACGTTTTTAGTTTCCTCTGCGTTCATCATTTCATTTGTCCCCCATTACACAGCAGACCAGTGTCTATTGCTCCCCATCCCTCTGCATTTGGTCCCACACAGGGGGATGTCTCGCAGATTATGGAATACATTTATTTTCATATAAATATTTCTGGTTTTACCGCTTTATGCACAGACATGGATTAAACCATTAACACATGGGGAGGGTAACTGCATGACCTGCATTTGCCCTGCAGTGACTGATATGTGCCATGAGAGCACAGAGCAGGATGCACAGGTGTCTGTACAGAGCACTGCTCATGTGCATTATACGTGTTTTGAACTGCTGTACAAAGCTCTACTCATTGCTGGTGCCTACAGAGCAGCACATACCAGATGTATGTCTGCTCCACTGTCACAGCCCAGAGTCTGGTGTTGGCTCCTTGCAGTTTTCTACGGTTCTGATGGTAGCCTACTGCCAGGCTGGTGCCACCTAGTGCCTCAGCTCAATTTCATTTCTCTTCAGCGACTAGGTCAGGAATTGGAATACACTAGGCGGTTTGCAAGAACCCCAGGAGTGCGAGTCCGGACACCAGCCAATCAGAGCCATACATTCTGTGTTGGCAACGATTCCCGAGATCTAGGACTTAAAGCCTGAACAAAGAGAATGTTTGGTGAATATTATCAAGGGGAAAGACATTATTGTCCTTCTTCCTACGGGATTTGGGAAAAGCTTAATATACCAGTTAGTCCTGTAGCAGCATATTACATATGTCACAACGAAATAGCAGAGATAGGTTAAATTAAAAAAAGTATTTTACCCTACTGTTGAGAGAATGAATTTTAATGCTGCAAGGTCAGACGGTTTCCACGAAGTGAAACCGGCTGATGAATCAGGCTAGTAGCCTACCTACTGGCGACTAACTTTAGAAACTTACCAAAGCGGCACAATGGGAATAATTTGGTCAAAAAATTTAATGGAGCTGATGACAGAAAGGACACGAGGATATGAGGAAGTCTGACATTGCAGCATTAGGACCGCTGACCAGGGTAAGAAAACACACTTTAGGACAGCGCTGTAAACATTCTTGAGTGAATGAGCTGCTTTTGTACAGAGCTATAGAGCAGTGCTGAGCTCTTACAGGTAGCGGGCAAGGGGCTGAACATGTTATGAATGTTCAGCATTTGTCATCCTTATATATTTCCTAATAAAAGAAGCCTTGAGCATGTTACACATTGTTTTTCAGTGGACTAGTTTGATATTTATTTTTGCAACTCTGGCAATTCACTGAACGCGCCACACCACGCCCACAGTCTCCTCCACTCCACCTGACATTCAGGCACGGCACACCTCTTGTTAAAAGCTCCACAGCCCACACTTCTGCTGCTGCTAAGATTGGGGGTGTGGTGGAAAACTGTAAAGCCTGATGAGATCTGATGTCATGCTGTGGGCCCCTCCTATACGGAGCTGTAGAGCAGAGCTTTTTTTTCATTTGTGCCAAAATGTGTAGGCAACACTGCCAAATCCTCCATTTATCACAGATTATCACTGATCGCAGTGAAAACAGGAGTTGATTGGCAATACAGTGTCTTGAAAATAAGGATTTAAAGATTGCTCAAACATGCACAAATCACTCCAAATACAACGTGTAGAGGGTAAATGAGAAGGGAAACAACTGTAATATGGTTCAAAGCTCTGAAACTAAATGCAAAATGCAATCTTCTTATTTCACTTTTATTATTTTATTCTCAAAATAAAACCAAAACTGTCAGAAATAAGTTGAATTTAAAGGTAAAATGATGTGACTAAATGACATGTTGACATGTTAATTATAGTTTGTACAGTGCAGTTGTCAGTAAACAGCCACAGTAGCCTATTTGAGGATTAAAACAGATTTGTAATGACTGTTTCATATGAGCCATCTGCTGTGTTTCTCAGGGCTGGGTCATGTGATCTGTCTTTGTCCATTCAACTTCATTTTGAGTCCAAACAAATGCCTCTGCTTTACATTCTTTTGGTCTGTGGAACAATGGGCGGCACTGGTCAGGTCGCCCACAACATGAAACAGGAATCACCATTGTACTGGGTGAAGAGAGCCGTACACTGAGCCAAACATGTGTCTACGCTATTAGATTATCTGAATTAAAGGTCTTATATTACACAAAATAAACACTTGCGAGGTTTAAGTCATGTTATAATAATATTACCTCCTCAAAAACATACCTGGAGTTGTGTTTTGTTTTATTCATTCATTTCATTCCATTCATTTCATTATTATTGGGTTAGGACACTATAAGTTACTTAAACTTCATCCTACTCCTTTTGAGCATCAGGTCCCAAATATGTACATGTACATATCCTTGTTTTTGTTGTTGCTGTCGTTGATTTGGTTGTACCTTTCTCAAACAAATAAAATTAATGAAGGAATTAATTCACACATGTTTGAGTAATCCTTTATTATTAGTCTGTCAACATCTCCAAAGCTTACAATGCTCTGTTCCTCCTTGTGATGTCATGCAGTTTAGTTAGTTATTTAGGCTGCTTAAGTATATTTGTCACATATACAGATGCATGAAGTACAATGTGTAGTGAAATTCTTCTATGCATTCAGTAAGATCAACACATAAATACATTTAAATACATAAAGGAGGAGAGAGTTAGGAATGGCTTACTTCTGGTAGTTTTCAAGTTAACTCCTTTTACCTTTAGTTCAGTAGAAACTGGTAATTCCAGGACTGAAATCATCCAAATGATTCTAGTGAAGGTGTGTGGAGTTTTAAAATGCAAAGGAGCATCACAAGCTCCACATGACATCACGAAGTGGGACAGAGTGTTTTCTATTTGAGAGAAGAACTCAGCCTAAATATGCAGGTGTGTTTGTGTTTTAGACGTGTGTGAGTTATGTTTGTGATGAAGAAACAACACTGAAACACAAATCAGAAAATAGCATAATATGAGCCCTTTAAAGTTACATGTAACTTTTATGATCTGCCACTTGTTTGTCTCTCTGGAGATGTTATTGCTTTCAGAAATTAAATCACCTGCAATTTAATAAAAAATTTATTGGTTTAATGTAATCTTGTGAAACATTCTAGACAAATAACATCTAATAACATCTCCATGGTGATTAACCTCTTATGACATGGAGGGACCTACTAATTAAAGCAACATTATGTAATTTTCTGGAGGTGGCAAGGCACCTGCAATTCATGGAAATAGAAAGTTAAAACCACACTTCGGAACATTCTCCATAGAGACGGATACGTTTATATTGTGGAATACTATGGCAATACTAATACTATGGCAAATGGAAACAAGCTGGGGACGGCCCTCCTCCATGCCAAGTCAGAGTCAGGTTTGTGGAGATGCAAGCCCACTCACAGAAAAGACACATGTTTTTCAGTGTAATAAAATGACCCAAATGAAAAACAACAAACAAACAAACAAAGCCTTTAAAGGTACACTGTGTAACTTTTTGGTTGGGAGTCCATCACATGCTTGTTTCTATGGATATACTATGGATACTTATGTCAACTTTACATTTATTCAATTACAAGTGGTTTCATAGCTCAAAAATACCTAGAAAAACAAGCATTCTGACTCTGAGTGGGGTCACCTCTCCACAGATCTGACCTGTAACTTGGTCTGATTCAGTCTCCCTGAAGACTGAAAGGTTTAATCCCATACTGTGAAACATTCCAGACAAAGCAACAACATCTCCATGGTTGAAAAGCATTTGAAGGACCCTCCACCAGAAAAGTTACACAATGCATCTTTTAATAAACAGATAAATCTTCTTGTAAACACATTTGAACTCATTAAGAGCACATTTTTACAGTGCATTGTGTAGTGGTCCCTCCCTGATTGCATCACTGGTAATCCCCTGTCTGCAGTCACACTTAATCAGAGGCACATATGTCAAGAAGCAGGACATACCAGTGTGGCTCACGGTGCTGCAGTGTAAATACAGCCCTGTGTGTCTGTGTGAGGAAATCTACACGGACCATGTGCCTTCAGGGGGTTTCTGTCCATGCTTCAGTCATGACAGAACTCCAGTGTGGGTCTGCTCCAGCTGGAAACACACTGTAAAAAAGGAGCTACAGGAGTTATAAAGAATGATTACAAGGTTCTATATTACACAAAATGGACTCTTGTGAGATTTAAATCTGTTATAATGTTGTTACCTCCTCAAAAATATCTATAAAGTTATGTTTTGTTTCAATCACACACGTTTCAGTAATTCTTTATTATTAGTCTCTCTACATCTCCAAAGCTCAAAATGCTCTTTTCTACCTTGTTATCATATGAAGTCAAGAGGTAAGGTCAAGTGAACAGCTCCTTTTACCTTTAGATCAGTAGAGATAGACAATTCCAGGGCTGAAATTATTCAAATGATTCTAGTGAAGGTGTATGGAGTTTTAAAACGCAGTGGAGCACTTCCTGTACTACCTCATGACATCACAACATGGAAAAACGTATTTCAGTTTGAGAGAAGAACTCAGACTAAATATACAAGGTTTGTGTGTTAAACATGTGTGACTGAAACAAAACACTATTCCAGGTCTGTTTGTGAAAACACGAACATCTTTGTTTTGAGTGAACAGACGTCAGTTGATGGGTTTTCCAGATGTCGATGGACAATACACACTGTCCATAGTTGGGAGGCAGTTTGTGACCAAAGACCCAATGTGATAATTTAGTTATTTAGTCCACTAACTTTTTATGGTGGAAAGTCTATCACCTGCTTGCGTAGGTTAGACACGTAGGTTTGTTACTACATTGTGCAACATCCCTGGCACTGGAATAATGTGTCCATGACCTTCCACCAGGAACCTTACATAGTTATGGTTAAGGTACACTTACCCATAACCTGTTGGAAAATGTGTCCTCTTCATTTGACCCATTCTTCAGTGTCTCGGGGTTAAACCTGTCAGAAACAGTGGACCCATCTCCAGATCTTGAGCTAGTCTTGGTCAGGACAACCTAGAGAATTGTACTTATGTTGCATGTTTTGGGTAGAGGGAGAAACCAGATTGCCCAGAGGAAACCCACCCAGACCCATGGAGAACATGCAGACTCCACACAAAAAGGCCCAGGAGTTGAAGCCAGAACCTTTGCGCTGTGAGGAGTGAGTGCTAGCCTCTCGGCACACTTTAAAAAAGAAAAGGGAAAAGTTTCACACACAAATAGTACATGTCCTTTAGGAGGGTGGTGGGCTCAAACGCAATGAATACCAAATCTTTAAAAACGATCTTCTAAAGAGCAAATCTGATTTTGACTGATCTTGACCTGTGATAGTTTTGACTTTTCTTTGGAAAATTGAGAGTAATTGCACAGAACATACTAGTGCAGCTCGCAGTTGTTCATTTTTCCTTTACCTTTAACAATAGGTAGAGGTGATTATCAGGGCTGCCCCAGGGCTGCTCACAGAGGTGTGGCTGTTATTCTGTACCCGAGGATTCTGTTAATCCTCTGGTCATTGGGCACAGCTCCTTTGTACTTGGTAAATGGTCACTTTTTTATATAACGTTTTTCCGCCTTCAAGGCTCAAAGCGCTTTACATCAAGGAACCACTCACCAATTTAAGTAATTGTGGGAAATTAATGGTACTTACCCTCTTGTGTTGCCTGCTTCAGGTGTTTCATCCAAAAGAGTCCTCTGGCTGCCGGAACATCTTAAAAAGGCAAGCATTTTGTTAGGAGGAGGGGAGCGCAGATATTTGAACTTTTCTATTTAGTATTTTTAAATGAATAAGAAAACACTGCTAATTTAATAAAGAAAGATATTTTTGTACATTGATGTATTTGGATATTTGTAGCACTGTTTTTGAGATGGAATGAAGATTTTCTGAACTTGCCTGCACTTTAACATGAGCTCACCCAATTAGAGGAGATGGCCTATAAAAGAAGCCAGCCTCACTGTTGTCTGGGAGAAGGTGCTGTGTGTAAGCGCAGGTTTTGAAATGTCTGTTTTTAATGTTGTACTTTTGTAAATATGTTTTAAATTTTTTTTGGTCTTGGTTATGAAATAAATGCACTCAGGATCTGCACTGCAAATCATCTCAACTCTACTCTGTTCCTCTTATACTGCTAAGTCTGCTATTCAGGTTATTACACACACACATTCATACACCAGTGCACACACACTCGGTGCGGAGAGGAGGGTTAAGTGTCTTGCCCAAAGATACATTCATTGCCTGTTCATCTGTGGAACAGCACTGCAAACCTGTGGGTCAGTGGATCTGACCGCTCAGTGACCAATGATGTTTATGTCGAGAGCAGAAGTCAAACTGCCAATCTTTGGATCAGTGAACAAACACACTTCCAGCCGAATAGTTTCAATGTTTAATGCAAGTATTTCCATTTGGCAAGGTGAGAGAAGTGTCCAAGGACATGCATAATTACAATATGCACTGTAAATGTGGCGAAATGCTCAACCCTCTAAACTCTCCATATGATTTATTATTAAAAATAGCCGTTCTTTTTTCAATCAAAACAGATTTATTTATTTTAACTACAAATTCGCAGATTGTTCATCCATAAAACAAATCCCTCTTAAACCACTGACATGATTTAACACAACAGACGGACAAAATAAACAGCTGTCCACAGATCAATAATCTTAATTAGAGTCATATTTTTTATAGAGGCGATTCCTTTTGCAGAGAACCAACCCACCGAGGAGCCGGAGCCAGTCCAGCCGCGCTCTGATTGGTCCGGAGACGGCTAACTCCATTTTGGAAAAACAGCTGGTCAAAGACACAACCTTTCCCCGTTGTTTGGCGATGATTCCCGGGGAGAGACGAGGAGGCTACCGTGCGCTCTGCTCCCACTGAGAACAACGGCGTTTACGGAGCTTTCACGTACACTCCGGAGTCCATCGCTTTGTCCTTGCGGTTCGAAAGTTATCCTGGGAAAACCTATGCTGTTAAATTCCCATTATAACAAGTGGATGAAAGGAGGAGGCAACCCGATCAAGGTTAGTGGCGCTGCTTTTCCATTCTTGGCTGGATGTATGTCACTACCGCACGTTTGCGCACTTACGATGTGAAATAACTGGGTGTTCCTTGCGTAATATCTATGCGTAAAAATACCCAAACGGCTGATATTTGATGTTGACAACTGCAGAATACGCGGTCACGATTCTGTCTTGGCTGCGCGTTGGAATAGTAGGAAGGCAGACAACGCTACAGACAATGCATTTTGCCATAGCGCAGTATCCAATCTCAACACTAGTCAAGTCAAATCTGTTGTATTATTATTATTAGCGTGTTGTTGTCCCCGTGCATAGGCGGTGCTGGCGTGCTCGCTTCGCCCGCTGCCAGTGCGTATCGGGCTGGTATGTTCTTCCCACACATCGCTGCCTCTGCTGGGTTCCGCTGTGGAGCTAATCTAATGACAGGCTGGATGGATTCTAAAGGGCTTTTCATATCGTCCTCTCATCGCCTCTGCGTGTTTCCGCCGTTCACTTTGCTCCTCTATTATCGGTAACGCGAGCACTTCGTATTTTAGCCACGTTTCATTGAGGCAGCGTTGACAACAGGTCCCGTACAATAAAGCGCCCGCTGAGTGAAGGCATAACGAGCCCGCTCTGCTTTCGGTTCGGTGGCTCCCCTGCTCTGGACTATAGATAGACTGTACCAGGGCTGCAGCGATTAATCGGGATAATCGTGACTAGTCAACTGTCAGAATAATCGTAATCGTTATCTGGACCATACAGACAGAAATACATTGAATGAAAATGCCAAAAAGAAGAAACCATTTCTGACATGGTCCAATCAAAGTAGACTACTGTATTCTGAACACTTGGAATACTTTCGCACTAAGTGGTGTTACATTGCAGGTTAGTGTAAAAATGCAAAACAACTTAAAGGCCCCATCCATTATTTTCTGCTCTACTGTATGTTCTAATCTTGTTTCCTCATCACAAACATATCTGGAGTTGTGTTCTGTTTCATTCACACATGTTTAACATACAAACACTGCATATATAGGCTATAGGGGTATAATGATATCCAAGTCTCATGATACGATATCGTCACCGTATGAACCTCACTGTATGATATGTATTGCGATATCGTAGGAAAGCTCAGGATATGGTGGAGAGGCTCATGATTAGGGATGTAACAATATCCAAATCTCTTGGTACGATACTTTCATGATATACATCTCACAGTAAGATATTTATTGTAATATTTTGTGGAGGCTGACAAAATTGTTAATATGCTACTATTTCCTCTTAAAATGCCTTGACAAGACTTAATCCAAAGAACTAAGAGTGCTTAGAAATGGTATTTCTTCATGTAGTCTGCACTGAAATGGAGCAAAGGATCATGGTCTATGCAGCTCCCTGTGTCTTTTTTTAGCTATTGCTGCACCATAAATCTTAATTCAAGCAAAGAGACTTGTAATTCGATATATCGTGATGGTCCACGATATTATTCTGAGAACTTTGATGATACGATATCACAATATTTCGGTTATTGTTACATCCCTAAAAGGCTATGAGTTCTTTTCTCAAACAGAAAACACTCTGTTCCACCTCGTGATGTCGTGTTGTAAAAGGTGCTCCACTGCATTTTTAAACTCAATCCATACACCTTCACTAGAATTATTTTGATAATTTCGGCCCTGGGATTTCCACTCACCACTAAACAAAAAGTAGCTGTTAACTTGAAAACTACCTCTTCATGACATCACAAGGTGGAACAGCGCATTTTGAGCTTTGAAGATGTAGACAGACTAATAATAAAGGGTTACTCAAACATTTATGAATGAAGCAAATCCACTGCAGGTATGTTTTTGATGGGGAAACAACATTCTAACATGACACAACGCTCACAAGACGGAGTTTTGTATAGGAACTTTAATGTTACGTATGTTTATATTTTTCTTACTAGTACTGTAGTCTCAAGCCAAAATTGCAGGATAAAGTAGGCTACTATTGCGATATATCAGAATACAGATACTTAAAATTTATATTCTGAAAAGCCTACATATGTTCAGTTTTTATATATAGTTTGGCTACTGACAATAATACACTTCATCATTATTTTCAACATAGTTCAAGCCTTTAGTCACCATATTTCAGCTTTTATTTGGTTAAAAAGGAGTTTACAAATCTCAATCTTTGTGTTGCAACATTGTAATTGCCCCACTGTCAGACAAATATAGGTAATCTTATCTCATCATTCTATCAACACTTTATTCATAAAGTCTGCAGTAGCCTAACCATATCTCAACCTTTGTTTGTTTAAATTGTCCTAGTATCTCTTGTACAATAAAAGTGATTGCTTGACACTAGGGCTGCAGGATTTTGGAAAAAGGAGCACAATGAATAATATAAAAATCTTATACATTTCAGTACAGGTCTGAAGTACAAACAGGTTTTTATAACAGACCGGATATTTTGTTTTTGCAGAGGACAAAGAATTACAGCCTTTGCTATTTGCTAATTTCTTCTACTCAAATTGTAATTTTGATTTGATTTGAATACCATTAATTGTGCAGTCTTAGTTGACAAATTGAAAAAAATAATCTCTCACTATATTTGATTACTAAAAGAATACTTTCAGCCCTGTAGACAGTGGAGAAGAGTGGAGACAGGGGAGCTGAAAGGAGCAGTGCAGCCCAGAGCAGAGGCTCTGCTGTGGGGAGAGGAGCACCAGAGCAGACCCCACACTCTGTGTGAGTGCTGTTGGGGCAGTGCCAGTGTTACTGGGCACTGGTGATAGTGCAAATAAACACTGGCTGCTCGCCTGCTCAGGCTCTGGCTCTAATCAGATCTCCCATCACAGAGCACGAGGTGGTATTTAAGGTTAAAGGAGATTGTCCTCTGCGTTTGACCCACCCCTCAGTATCTCTGGGTCAAACCTGTCAGGAGCAGTGGGCGACCGCAGTGCAGCACCTGGGGATGCCAAAAGTAGTGAAAATCTGATACTATTATCGATATTAAAGCTAGTACTGTAACTAGATACTCATTTGACCAGTATCAATAGTAAAAAGTCCCATTCACAGGACAGAAATGAACCTTTTCTGAATAGCTTTAAAATGATCTTGAGCTGTATCAGGACAAGTATAAGAGCACATTGACTAGTATACACCCATGGACCACTATGGAACCTACCTGGACCACTGAGGCATAAGACAAACAATAAGCCTTTTGAGATGACAAATCACATTCTATTGTCTAAATAAAGAGTGTTTTTAATTATCATTGTGGCATCAAAGTCGTTGGATCTAAAGCCAGATTTGAGTACAAAGTAAGAGCAGATGTCACCACAGATGCCATGAGGTTGAATGATACACATGTGACTACCATTCAGTGTTCGGTTTTATTAATTAAAAAATAAACATCTCTTAGTATTGATTTCATGGACATAAACACTACATGCTTTTAATCTGCCATATAAAACAAAAATGAATTACATTTCTTCCGCCAAAGTCTCCCATCTGCTCCAAACCACGTGCTTTTCCTGACACGGGATTGGCTGTAGACCTCTCCATTATAAACATCTGAACTTATCACTAACCATTAGACAGGACTCATTCACAATCTCTCCATCTTTTGATTATTGCACAGCCTGACACGTATTCCCACAAATCTTACCTATTTTCCCATGGAAATATGATAAGATCTGGAAGATTTTCTTCTACATAACTTCCCACATCACACCCATGTGATGTGAGATGTAAGTCTTACAAAGCTCATTTTTAGGAGCTTTGAATATTTTTAAAAGTCTAAACAGTCCATACTGTAAAAATACAGACGAATCCTACTAAATCTGACCTTTGTGAAAGCTGTGGATGCCCTGTCAGAACACAGGCAGTTTGATTCACATAAATACATTGTGTTCTATGGGAGAATTTTTTTCTGGGCCAGAGCTAATGGGAGCTGCAGTACCAGGAAAGGCCCCAGTCATTCTCACAAGGGGATAGAGGGGGGATACCTTATCCCTTATTTTTTTCCCTGTTTCTCTAGATCTTTTTTCTTTTAATTTTAGTGAAGTTTATAATTACTTCATGGTTGGACATGGAAGGCAGATGTGACAGACAAAGATGTAATTCCATAACCGTTTCATATTAGTAAGTGTAATGTTTAACAGGATCAAACCTGTAACTATAACTTTAATAGTTTTAACTAGACAAATAAAGACAGATGACACATTAAATATATGAAACACTGCAGCCTTTGGGATGTAGTGTATAAATGTTAGTTTGCTGGCTCCTCTGGGACACTCTCTCCTCAGCACAAGACTAAACACTTGTCCAGATCTTGGCTCATTCTGCACACACCAGATGTTTGAATGAATATATTTATCTTCTGTTTGTAGTGCTCATGTACAAACACACTATGACTAGGGTTGTCAAAAGTATCTAAAGTAAAATACTAATCAATACTGAAATTAGATACTCATTTGAGCATGTACCGATACTAAAAGTCTAGACTAAACAGAGTTTTTTCATGGCCGATGCTGATTGTTTGGAGTCCAGAGAAATCAATTGGCAATAAGTTCTTCAGATATTTTTTGCCGATATGTATAGTCGAGTTTGATTATTTTCCCCAAATGATATTATTATTTACTAGTACTTCCTCAACACTTGTTTTACTGCAAACCTTTGACAGAGCAATGTTGTCATGCTTCGTGCAGTGACCTCCTCAAATAAAGCCTTGTGTGGACTCTTCAGGCAGCACCTCGCCCAAAACAAAATATCGGCCTGTACTGGACATTTACCACCACCTATCTCTTGAAGCTTTCTGGACAACTGAGGGATTACACAGATGTAATGCCACATGGGAATATAAAAGAAAGTACTAATTAAGTTAATATTCTATTGCAGAGGTCTTCAACAGGGGAGGTACTGCAGGGGTGTCACGAAATCTTTGGTTGATTAGACTTTTATTTTTTTATATTTTTCTTTATTTTTGAAGGATGAGGTTCTGTCTGTTCTCTCGTTCATCACATCTGTCTCTCTTAT